GTTGATCACCTGTGCCCTTAGGGTGGATGGAGACAGGGTCCATGTGTGGAGGTCTACATGAGCCAGTTGATCACCTGTGCCCTTAGGGTGGATGAGGACAAGGTCCACGTGTGGAGGTCTACATGAGCCGGTTGATCACCTGTGCCCTTAGGGTGGATGGAGACAGGGTCCATGTGTGGAGGTCTGCATGAGCCAGTTGATTGGCCAGGTGATGGAGTTAGAAGCTGTATTAGTGTGAGGGTACAGGTGACTGAAACTGCCAGCTTCAGGCCTGCTTTGTAGGCTGAGAAAATGATACACCATAACTATCTTTCCTTTCATAATTCTGGGATATTTTCTGATGAACTGTTCCAGAAATCCAGATGTCTCTCAAGTCTCATTGACTCGGGGACAGTGCAGAGAATGTCCTCAGGGGTTCGCAGCTGCAGGTGTCTGATAGAGCACCCCCCCGCCATGCCCCCACCTTGTGGATGTCCCCACGAATGCCTTGGGCACAGCCACCATTCTGGGCTCTGGTCCGCCTTTCCCCCTCTCCCCACCTCCCCAGAGTCTTTTGTCCTCTGACCCTATCTTTAGCGGGGCCCAGCTGTGTTAAAAGGTTATTACTGCCAGGGCAGTGTAGTCCCTGAAAGACACTCAGTTTCTTTTAGAGGTTCTTATTGGCTTATTAATTATGTATGAATCAGGCCACTGGAAATTGGATTAAAGATCAGTTTATTTCACTCACACTATAGAACAGACAGTTGTTCTGGCATAATAAAATCATTCATTCACTCAGCAAAACTGTGCCTTTGGTTTGGAAGGCAGCGCAAATAAGGGCATAGCCAAGTCTCTCTGCTCTTGTTTGCAAAGTACAGTGGAGTTTATTTCCAGTGCTCCACATAATACTTCATTTTAGTGTCATCTCAAACGATACCATGCTAGAATAATGCAGTGGAGGAGTTTTTAGCTTTGAGTGTTGTTGTTTGTAACCGTTCCTGTCTTGCCTTTGGGGCATGCGGTCATCTTCAGGGCAGCCGTTCCTCGGTGGTCTGTTGGCAGACAAAGGGGAAGCGGGGCCTCTGGTACCAGACTGACAGAAAGCCACTCAGCTCACTGAGTTTTCATCCCTGCGTCTCTGCGTCCCATGTTTATTATTGGTGGTGTAAAGCAGGTGGCGTTGAGCTGGATTTGCGTTAATAGATTGGGCAAGAATAAAGTAGCAACAGCTTAGCATTTGTGACATTGGAAGTATAGATAGTGACTGTGTTTTACTGATAATGATTTTACAGTATAACGAGCAGAAAGTCTACACTGCCTGTCCTCGTTTTATTTGATCGTTTGGCATCGTCATAGCCGCCATCTTTGGTAAATCTGTGTGTAGCTGCTGACTAGTCTGTTAAGTGGTTTCGATTCTGTTCGTTTTCCCAGACTGTTTCAAAGTAACTTCCAAATGAACTATTGAAAGTTAAATTATATATAGATAATCTGGTAAACTTGCATATTTTAGTAGATGTGTGCAGTTTTTAAAGACAGTGTGCTCAGAAATACACTTGCTTGAGGAAAGTGATGTTAAAAGCAGTCCTGTTCCATGTGCCTGCTCACTGCTGCCTCCTGTTGCTGAAGGGGCACAGCAGCCCCGCCCCGCTCCTTCTGTATCCACTGTCCCTCTCACTCCCGCCGGGCCTCACAGGATGGCTGGGCATGGAACTTGCTCCCACTGCACGAAAAGGCCGTGCTTTCTTGGTCGGTCGTGGTGGGAGAAAACTCACTCATCAAAAGGGAGATTTAAAGAGAAAAATTCTCAGTCCCTTTGCCACTGCAGTGAAAAGGGTCAAAATAACAACAGCTAGGGGGGCCGGCCTGGTGGTGCAGCGGTTAAGTGTGCGCGCTCTGCTGCAATGGCCTGGGGTTCTCAGGTTCGGATCCTGGGTGCGCACGGACGCACCCGCCTGTCAAGCCATGCTGTGACGGCGTCCCATATAAAGTAGAGGAAGATGGGCAGGATGTTAGCCCAGGGTCAGTCTTCCTCAGCAAAAAGAGGATTGGCATCGGATGTTAGCTCAAGGCTAGTCCTCTTCACAAAAAAAGAAAGATAACAACAGCTAGCTGCTTTTCGGTTTCAGGTGAGAAAAGAATGTAATTTTTTTTTGTTTTTTTGTGAGGAGGACCAGCCCTGAGCTAACATCTGATGCCAATCTCCCCTTTTTCCTTGAGGAAGATTGGCCCTGAGCTAACATCCGTGACCATCTTCCTCCACTTTATATGGGACGCCGCCACAGCATGGCTCAACAAGTGGTGCGTTGGTGCGCGCGCACCCAACCGCTTGCGCCACCGGCCGGCCCCAGAATGTAATTCTTAACTGTAGAACATTTTGTCCTTTTTTTTCAAGGGCTTGCCTGTGGCTTTAGACAAGCATATTCTTGGTTTTGACACAGGAGGTAAGTGATTGTTTTAATTCAAGCTATTTTTAGAGACTGGGTGACTATTGGGGGAAATGAGTAATGGTCTTAAATACAAAAATTATTGATTAATGCAGTGTTTCTTATAAAACAGATGCAGTTCTTAATGAAGCTGCTCAGATTCTGCGATTGCTGCATATAGAAGAGCTCAGAGAGCTGCAGACAAAGATTAATGAAGCCATAGTAGCTGTGCAGGCGATTATTGCCGATCCAAAGACAGACCACAGACTGGGGAAAGTGGGAAGATGAACGTTTTTAGGATTTCAACTTCTCACCTACTTAGTACACTTGGGAACCATGTACACTCTGGCATGTGGTGTTTGTTTGGAAATCAAATGTCGTTTTCAAGGGAAGAATCCCAGAAAATTGACTGTGTTCTAGAGATTTACCATCATTGCTTTTTCTTTAATAAAGTTTGGGAAACTAGATTTTCTTTTTGACTCTGTTATGTTCACGTATCTGTATAATTAATTTGCTTCCTCCTTTGTGGTTAAGGTTCTTGCCAACCCCAACTTTGTTATAGAGACAATACTGATCCTCAGGTTGTAGGAAAACTTAGAATATTTTATTGGAGTAATCTAGAAAATGAGAACTGTTACATCTTTGGTATTTATAAATGTAGTAATTTCTGTGGGTAATTCTATGGAGGGACTTAAACAGGATCAGAACATACAAACTGAAACATTCTAGCACCTTTTAATATAAATAGAAATGCACTGATGCAGAGGTAAAAAGAGAACTTTTGTCGGGAACTGTAAATAGACTTGTTCTTTCCCATCAGTTCTGCGTAGCCTCCTCTATGTCAAGGTTTATGCTCTTTAGGGTTGTATTTTTATAGTGATCACATGTGCTTTAATTTCTTGACCAGAGGAAATCCATAGCAAACATCAGATGTATTGTCTTAACATTCTCTTAATTGGTTCTTAATTGAATGAATTTGACCTTTTAAATATGATATGTTTATAAAAAGTTGCTTTAATAAGCAACAAAATTCTATTACTTTTTTTAAAGTTGCAATAACTTTGTTTTTAAAAATACAGTAGTATAGATTGAGGTATAAACTCTTCACAAAATACACTTAGTCTTTTTGCACTGAAAATGTCCATCTTACGTGTCCAGGAACTTCTGATGGCCAATTCCTTTTCCATTTTTTTGCAGTGAATGTTCCTTAGGGTCCAGATTCTGATTGTCAAGTCCTTTATGAGGCTGTATTTACTTTCTTCCTGTGAGGGGAGGTGTGGGAGGGACAGTGGGTGAGCATTTTATAACCAAGTTGCAACAGTAAGTCTTTTAAAGGGGAAATATCCTAAGAGGCTGACCATTTTTGCGTACAGTTAAGCTAGGTGGACCTAGGTAGTAAAGAGTGGTCACTCATGCGTTGGCCATTAACTTGTCCAGCACAGAGTGGCTCTCACTCGTGGCCACGTCAGTGGCAGCAGTCGGTCTCTGGGCCGAGGGTAATCAGTCACCGGTACTCCCTTCCTCTCCCTGCTGACCCAAAGGAGCGGCCTGAGCGTGTTTGTTGGTTTACCTGCAGGGCAGTAGGGGTGGACTGCAGTTATCCCGTAGAGATGAGACCGCTGCTCTGGGAGGTACTCGTCCGTGAACTGGCCACTGTCCCTGTCGACTGATATCACACCGTCCCTGGTGACAAAGGAGTGGGTTCAGGGGCTTTCAGGTTAGGTAGAAAAGTCAGTTTCAAGGAAAGAAAAATCTGCCAGCCTTCAAGAATACATTTTCTAAATTAATTTAACCAAGTGAGTTTTGACTTATTTAGAATCAGAAGATTTGTCTGTATCAGTGGTTTTCAGAGTGGTCACCAGACCAGCATCATTGGGGAACTTGTTAGAAATGCAAATTCTTGGGCCCCACCTCAGACTGACTGAGTCAGAACATCTGGGACAGGACCCAGCAACATGTTTTCACAAGCCCTCAGGGCAATCCTGACGCCACGCTGAAGTCTGAGAGCCACGGGTCCTTGTCAAGTTCTCAACCCTCGCTGCACGCTGGACTCACTCGAGCATCTATCAATCAAAGTCCTGGTGCTGGGCCTCCTGCCAGACCAGTTAAATCAAAATGTGAGGATGGGGGAGAAGGGCTTACACATCTCTGAATATTTTTAATGTTCCCCAGTTCCTCCTTGGAGAACTAGTCTAAGTTGCAGTATTTTTCATTCTCCCAGGTAGACAACTAATATGTTCACAATGTCATTAAAAAAAAAAAAATCAAATAGGGGGCCGGCCCTGTGGCATAGCTGTTAAGTGCACGTGGTCCACTGCTGATGGCCCAGGTTCGGATCCTGGGTGTACACCGATGCACTGCTTGTCAGGCCATGCTGTGGCGGCGTCCCATATAAAGTGGAGGAAGATGGGCACAGATGTTAGCCCAGGGGCAGTCGTCTTCAGCAAAAAGAGGATTGGCAGATGTTAGCTCAGGGCTGATCTTCCTCGCAAAAAAAAAAAAAAAATCAAATCATATAACTAACTCATGGTACCATGTAAGGGTAGTCTTTTATTCTCTAAAGATCAGATTTAGATTAACTAATGTGCGTCCTTTTTGGATAGTTTATTACCAAATAGCTGCCACCTGTAAGCTGCATGTGAGCCATCGCATTCCACTTCTGTGACATAAAAGTATGATGTGAAAAGCAGTGACACCTGAATGCTGTCATCTACTCATGAGACGATGAAATGAAAGGCTCAGTGGAGGGCGATGACCATAGTCACTTATGGAGGTTTGGTACAACAAGGGAGCGTCCTCCAGGACGGCTGGCCTGCTCAGGCTCGTCCGGCGTGCCAGGCTCACCTCCTCCAGTCTGTGTGGTAGAAGTGACCCGCGTAGCTGACCACACTGAAGGGGTAGTTGAGGCTGCTCTGGACGACACGCCGTCCAGTCCCATCAGGGAGTGTACACTCCAGCTTTTTGGTTCCTTTTAAAACATCAAAGAAGGAAAATTAGATCCTTTCATACCATGAAAAAAAAGCTCCTTTGCCAAAACTAACAGGGGCAGGTCAGTTCCTTCTCTAAATAAACAAAGGTGGACGAGGAGATGGGATATTTTATTCCCACTGCAGGGATACAAATTAGAAATTGTGACGTTTTCCTATTGTTACCAGTTTCAGTTGGTTTCATAGCATTCTAGATTTCAACAGAATTTAAACTCTTAATCCTTTTTTGGAAGAGAGATTTGCATTTACAGAAATCTGGCTAAATTTCTCCCAAAGTAGGGCATTCGAGATAAGCTTTTTTATAACTGATATAATTTCAAGTGTTAGCTCATAAGTTGCTGTAAACATAACATCTGTCTGTTGTTGGATAAATACTTGCCCTTTGTAAACAATGTATAATACCAAGGCCTCCTTTTAACTAAAATCCTTAATTTTTTTAAAAGACTGTATTATTTTCTAGGTAGGAATAAAAAGTAACTAAAATGGTAACGTGGCTTGTATTTTTCAGTGTAAAGGAAGCAGTCTTGAGGATTTTGCAATAGCTCACAAGTGAGGAATTTCCAGGTTTCACATTTCTCATGGAACCCTGGTGAACGTTCCAGATACTTTTTCAAAATGTAATTTGTGTTGCACAACTGGGTTATAACCGTGACCATCTGCATCACAGTCCCTTTTATTAGATTATACATTCTTCAAGAACGGCCTTTTTCCTGTTCTTTAGTATATAACTAGACATAGCATCTTTTCAATTGTGCTAATAATGGAATCAGTAGGAAGAGAACCTGGGTATTGACACCCCAAATTCATTACTGAGGGAAGACATCCCTTTTCAGAGAATGTCCTCCACATAACAGCATACTGACTGGTGAAGTAACAGATACTTATAAATGTTATAATAATGGCAGAAAGAGAAAATGCATTTGCATTCCATCGTTGGGTTACCTGCATCTGCCCAGCAGAGCAGTTTGGAGGAGGGGTCAAAGGTTAAACCATTGGGTAGTCCAATGTCTTTATTCACCAGAATTCTTCTGTTTTCCCCCTCTAAAGATGACGTTTCAATTTTAGGAGCTTCTCGATTCCAGTCTGTCCAGTACAAGTTGCTGTGAACAAATTAAATGGAATAGGAAAATACACCTTCCTCAGTGTGTAGAACCAAATTTCAGAGCCATCTTTGAGGCTTTTCACTAAGTATTTCTCAGTCAAAAACACTTTGCTGAAAAGTAAAGCTGAAGGTTTTATTTCCTGATTTGAAGGGCTTCTCTGGAATTTCATGGGGTAGAAGCCCCACAAAACATGGCAGGAGTTTCTGAAGGTGCAGAAATCCTCCCCGGTTCTAACAAGGACTGAAACACTGACCCAGTGGATGACCTTGGCACTTGCCATGGACAGGGAACATTTTTCTCTTGATTTTTGCTACAGTGAAAAAGGCAAGAGAAATCAGACGCCGGTGTCTGTTTTGGTTACTCTCCATTTAATGGAGGTAAACACTACAGTTGTAAGGCTATGATTTCCTCATGTTGCTGAAGGGGACCCACTTCTCTCCGGGTTACGTGCTCCCTCAGGCAGCCTGATCATCTGTTCTGGAGTGGCCCCCGTCCCCCGCTCTATCTGAACGCTCTGCATACCACATCACAGTCTCATTTATTCATCAGTTTACCGTCTCAGTTCCTCCTAGTGGAATGGAGGCTCCACGCGAGAAAGACTTGTCTGCCTGGAACACTGCCTGACCCGGGCAGATCCTCAGTAAACACCGTTCGGTTAACGCACCTGAGCTCGACACTCCCGACCCTCCCCACACTGCACTTAAAATCCAGGCTCTTCAAGTCGGGATCTGCAGGGAACAGAACAGGGAAGCCCAGCTGACCCTCGGATCGGATCCACTGCGATGGCGCGGGGGTTCACCAGGTCTGTGTGGAAGAGGGCCTTGCGCTCGGAGCCGTCCAGCTTGGCCCTCTCTATCTTGTCCAGGCCACTGTCCGTCCAGTACATCGTTCTCCGGAAGTGATCGATGGCAAGTCCCTCGGGGCTTATCAGACCTGGAAGTGACAGAGGGCAGGACTGGAGCCGTTGCAGGTGTGAAAGGAGAGCCTGCAGCAGAGAGCTACTGTGTGTAAACAGTTAAGTCCCGAGCGTCTGCGTCTCGAGAACCAGGTGAACAGAGGAACAGATCCTGTTACTCCTGCCCTCTGGTTTCCTCTGGACGAGCAGACCTCCCAGCCTGACGGCACCGGGCAGCATCAACTACAGCCACAGCCTGAGTTCTCGCTGGAGCCCTAATACCCAGGAGAAAGGCTCCTGGTGAGAGTCGCTTCTCTCCCTTATGGATGAACGTGTCTGCTTACAAGGGGCCGGTACTGGACAGCTCAGTGAAGTGACCTGCACCAAACTTACTTAAACCCCCGTTGGGTGAAAACAGGAGACTTGACTCTGGCATAAAACAGGCAAGTAAGTAACCTGGATGTGACGGAACCCAGTGAAACAGGAAGGGTCCTCTGGTCAGCGCTGACCTGAGTTAATGATCGTCTCGGGCTCGGACCCCGGTTCTAGACTGGCCCGGCTGATCGTCCGTCCGGCAACATCTGTCCAGTACACCATCCTCTCCCGGCAGTCGTAGTCAAGCCCCACGACGATGGAGCCCTGCGTGGACCAAAACACAGAACTGGAAGAATTAGCACTCCTCGCATTTCCCGAGTCCATGCTCAGCTGCCTCACCCCTGCAGGGCCGCAGTGAGCAGCCCTGCCCCACGTCTCAAGGGCAGCCGAGCCCAGTGGTCGGACGTGTGGGCTCTGGAGGCCGCCTTCCTGGGGTCAAGCCAGGCTCGGCCCCTCCCTGGGCGTGGGCCTTGGTTTCCTCACACACAGCACCTCCTCCCACGGCTGCTGTACAGTGAAGATGCTGCACGCCTGTCCAGCGTCCAGGCAGTGACTGGTCACAGTGACCTCGCAACCAGCAGTTACTGTGGCAGTGAGAGCAGAAGTGAGTCCGTGAACAGGTCAGCCCCGTCAGGGTTAGAGGACAAACACCAGTCTCCACCAAGGAAGTCCTTAATGTTTTACTGGGCAAAAACGGACTCCTTTCAGATGTTGTCAGCACTTGCTGGAGAGCCTTTTAAAACATTGCGACGTAACAGCAAAGTCTCCTCTCCCTGCCCCAGTGAAGACAAGACCTCCCCTGCCCGAGTGCGTCACCCTGCCCCGTCTCCGCCGCTCACTGTGTGGCAGCTCGGGAGGTGCTCTGGTGTCCAAGAGAGTCTGTGATGTGATGGCTGAGGAACCGGGGAATGGGGGTCCCTGTCTCTGGTTGGGAGGCCTCCCCTTCTTCCTTCCTTACTGCTAAGTAACGACCAAGTCTCTTAAAGTGCTGAGTCTGTGATACTCCTTTCCAAAACCCGGCACAGCACTTGCTTCATTCCGTTTCCAGCCCAGACTCCTGCTCTGAGAAGCCCAGCGAATGTGCAGAGCCAACATCTCGGGGCCATCTGGCTGTCCCTGAGGTCACCCAGCTGTCGGCTTGCCTCACAGCCTCCTGGGGCGGCCTGACATGGCCCTGGCAGAGAAGCCGGCACAGGAAACACGGCACGACGCAGGATTTGGCTCCTGTGGACAGTGGGCATGGGGGATCTGAGGGTCACGCACAAGTTTACTTGAAAGTTAACATTAAAAAGCCGTCTGTCTCAAGCAGGAGTGCTGTCCATGCGGGCCTCCACTGGCCCATGTCTTGACTTCAGAGTTTCTGGGAGGAAAAAGTCCCAGTTTCAGTAAATTTCCCCGAGATGTGCTCATAACCCCTGTTCCATTTCTCTCTCAGTTCCCCCCTTGCCGTGGCCTCGTCAGAGGCGGCTTCAGAGTGGCAGTGGAGCCATCTGACGGTGAGAATAAGGAGAGGGCCAGCTGGAGGTGGGGACAGTGTCTCAGCCCTACCCTCAGAGAACTTACAACACGGCATGCTGGTGTTTGCCAAACAGAAAACATAAAAAACCTCCAACCTTAAAAAGGAAGAAAGAACGCGTCTTTTCCTGAACACTGGCTGCTTCTAGACTTTGTTGGAACCAGAGGTGGAGTTAGTTCCTTAACAGAAGTCAGCATACACGTGGAGACTGTGCTGTGTCTCTCAGACGAGCGACTCCTGGAGCGTGCAGTTCAGAAACGGGACAGACGGTTCTCCATCGTGTCGACGCCTGTCTGGTGAACTCCCTCTGCTTTCTCCATTTTAGAGAAGAAACCCGTCCTCCACAGTGGAGCCCTTGACTACATGGGGGCTGCCGGCTCAGGAAGCAGCATGCGGCCCAAGGGAAAGCTCTGTCCACTCCCTCCCCAGCCTCACTCTCCCCGTCTTTCTCTGTGAAGGAGTCTGAGATGGTGAGAAAAGAGAACCAGAATCAACAGCAGCAGAATGGCGGGGAGGGGCAGCTACAAGGAGGCATCCTGAACTGACTTCCACTTGGGACCTCAGCTGACCACAGGGCCACACCCCGTAGCCAGTGCCCCTGCGTCTCGATTCCCAGACTCTCTGGAGATGTCTGTGGACTCGGCTTCGGATTCTGTCCATCTCCCCTTGGATCCCCAGACTCCTCAGTATCCTGACAACCCCGAGAGTCCCTCTCCACATATCTGAAACCCCACGAACCAATGAGAAAGCGGCCTTGGCCGGTCAGACTTGACTCAGCAACAGGGCCCCACTTTCCGTGGTGGAGGCGTCAGGCTTCTGGAGACGGCTGCGGCCCAGAAACCGTCCAGGACCTCCCTCAGCTCAGGCCCCAGCCCAGGCCCGAGAGCCCCGCAGGCCCGCAGCCAAGCCCCACAGAAGTCCGCCTTACGTGCAGTGACAGCAGGGTCTTGGCCGCGTCCTTCTGAAGCCTGGTGCCATTGAGGGGCAAGTGGCCAATCTGTTGGCCCTGGGCGTAGAGCAGGAAGGTGCCCACGGACGGAGGGGTCACGTCAGGCCGGGGCGTGGGCTGGACCGTGGGTGGAGCGACCGTGGGTATACCTGCGGGGGAAAGGGGGGGACAAGGAGCAGAGGAAAAAAAACAGGGTGGGTGGGGAGAGGGCAAGATGGTCACTTCCTCATGTTCCAACGCCTCCAAAACATCAAATTCTTTACTCCACACACGTGTTCCTTACAAGAAATCCTAATTCCCAAGGTCTTTTCAAGAATCACTTACATAAATGTCTGCCAATTACTAGGGCGGAAGACAGAACATCCCCCCTCCCCCCAAAGCAGCAGGTCTGTGTGTTTTTCTTTTCAAGGGAGGGAACCAGAGCCAGCACGGTGCCAGCTCCTCTCTGGGGCCCAGGGTGACATGCGTCCCCTGCACCCTGGGCTGGGGGACACGGCATGTTGAGCTGAGTGCCAGGTGTTGTATTAGAGAACGGATGACACCCAGCGTTAACCCACATTGGGGTCAACCCACACAGCCTGTGACTGACTTCTCCCACGGGACCCACTGACCCCTCGTCTCCCACCTTCACCCACGGCCCCACAATGGAGGTGGGGGGGCGGTCCCCAGCTTACACGCGGGGGTGGTGCCCGGCCCGGAGCGGGTGCCCTGCACCTCTCTGCCGTCTCTGTCCACACACCAGCAGAAGTCACTCTTCCCGTGGCACTGCAGGGGCCTGAAGTGGCCCAGGTCGTCGCACTGGGGCACATACTGGTCGTCCCTGGGTGTGCCACCGTACAGCTCCAGCAGGGTTTCCCTCCAGCGCTCACAGACCGTCCGGGGCCGCTGGGTGGGCTCTGAGCAGACGGGGACAAAAAGCCTCTGACTGTGAGCCAAGGACACAACAGCATGTGGGTCAGGATCCCCACGCCTAGCCTCCTGGTCCTCTTCCTCCCAGCATCCACTGTCGAGGCCTCAGCCCCCCGCACACTGGACCAGAGCAGTGGAGTGCTCTGGAAGTTCTCCACAGGCACTGGAAGGCTCCGTGCTCCTGTCCCCCGCCGGCACGTCGGGGAAGAACTGGGGGAGGTGAGATGAGGGTGCAGGGCACTCGCAGCCTGGGAAGGGGACCGTCTCACTCAGGTGGGAGAGGCCCGGCAGACACCCCGCCTGGGCCCAGGACCCCCGCTGGCGGAGCTGTGGGGATGCTCCTTGGGGACTCAGTGGCCTATGTGATACAGCCAATGCTCATTCCTTCCCACTTGCTTCAAGCTGCAGGACCTGCTCTCCTGCGAGTGGCCAGTGAGTGTCTTAGAAGGTAGTAGGGCATGCCCTACTCTGTGGCCCTCGGTGTCCACCCTCGGAAACTCCTGAGCAAAACCTGCCGTAACTGGTATGTGTGAGCACAGCTGAGGTGGCAGCAGATGCCACTACACTGGCTGTTGACGCTCCGGCTCCTGGAAGTCCTCGGGCCTCCTCTCCTGGGATGATCTCAAAGCTGAGCCTCTTCTAGGCTCCGGCTCTGTCCCCTCCTGTCTCCAGCTCCTCCCGCACCCTCCCTCCCCGCTCGCCGCCAGGCCTACACTCTGTCAGCTTCCCCTGCAGAGCGGTTTCTCCCAGGCTGCTTCCCCAGGCTGTCGAGGCTCGGCCCAGACACGCAGTTCTGTCTGAGAGGACTGCCTCAGGCTGTTGGAATAACCCTAACCTGCCCACGACAGGATTACCTAAAGGAACTGACCTAGAAGGCGCTTCTCCTTTTTAATCCCTCAACTCACAGCCCGTGGTCTGTAGACTCACACAGCCGAAGGCCCACTCAGTACCACCAATGGATGGATGACAGAAATCTCCGGACAACTAACAACCTGGGCCCCTGCTCCCCCAAAGGTGCCCTCCCCAGACCGTCCACATCAGGAGGTAGCACCTCCATCTTCCATCGCTCAGGCCCAGTCATCCTCGACTCCTTTCTTTCTCTTGCTCTCCACATCTGATGTCAGGAAAGGCCAGCTGTACCTTCAGGATACACTCTGAGTATCTGCCCTTCTCACCATGTCCACCACCACGCTGGCCAGAGCCCCATCATCTCATGCCAGGATTACACCACAGCCTTCTTACTGGTCTCCCTGCCTCGCCCCTTTCCCACCCCAGTGTAAACTCAGCCAGAAGGAGTCCCTTTACAACACAGTCACTTCACATCACCCCTTTGGTCAAAACCTCCCGTGGCTTCAATGAACAATGTTGGAAATAACACAGTTGGAAACGATCCAGTTCCTACAGTCCCTCTGGGAAAGCAGGGAGATGGTGAATAAGATGCTTAGAGCTCCAACCCAACCAGCTCAGCCACAAGACCCACCGGATCCACTGTCTCTACAGCTTGTAAGCCCCAGAAGCAAAGCTCTTGTGAAGACCTCACGGAGGGGCTGGCCCGGTGGTGTAGCGGTTAAGTGCATGTGCTCTGCTGCTAGTGGCCCGGGTTCAGATCCCGGGCGTGCACCGACGCACTGCTTGTCAGGCCATGCTGTGGCGGCGTCTCACATAAAGTGGAGGAAGATCAGCAGCACGGATGTTAGCCCAGGGCCAGTCTTCCTCAGCAAAAAGGAGGATTGGCATGGATGTTAGCTCAGGGCTGATCTTCCTCACCAAAAAAAAAAGAAAAAAAAAACACCTCACAGAGGACAGGCTGACTTCCTCCCTAGATGGGTCTGAGAGGACCTGGAGAGGGGACGCACTTCCTCAAACACTTGCCACCTCACAGCGGGGGCTCCCGGAGAAGGGCCCAGCACCACCCCAGGCTGTGTTCCAAACCCAGCGAGTCTGTTCTCAGTCCCAGGACCACCCCTCGCGGCACAGTCAGCTGGAAGGGTGCCTCGCAGTGCCTGCACGCAGCACCTGCGTGCCTTACTATTTGAAGCTACTTCTCAGCGCAGCCACGGTTTATTTCTCTTCATTTCTGGTTGGCAGGGTTTAAATATTTTGAAATCTCGGGCACAGTGTTCTCTCCCCTTCAAGCTGACCTCACATGCAGATGAAACTAGTCAGACCCAGCGGCCACGCCAAACCAGCCAGAGAGGCCTGGGCCACAGCCGAGTCTGCACAGAACAGGTCCCTCTTTTAGTCACCTTCTCTTTCTTTTGGCTCCTTTTCGAATCATTGTCCTCAACACATGCTGTCCTAACAAATTTAACAGAATTCTCAGCCATTCCCTAAGGCACCTCCCAACCGTCTGATCCCTTCAAATCCCAGCAAGTGTTAGAACCAAGATCTTTTAAAGAGCAGGCATGTGTGAAGCAGGATTTCTCTGTATTCTATTTTGGATGCGCAAAGCCTCCTAAAAATGGGCAAGGAGGAACCAGGAGCGCCACGGGGAACCAGGCTGTGCATCTGGATCGCGCATTTCCAGGGTTCCTCGCCTGAGTCTGAGAACCACTAACTCCTGGCCATGACGATTCAGATTATTGAAAGGGTCAGAACTGTGGAATTCTCCAGCTGTTACACTCATGCATTGAAAGCCAAGACTAGGATTTATAGAGCCCTTTTCAACAGTAAAAATGGATCTTTGAATAGCAAGCTTATGGATCTAGGAATTATTTTGGCTAAAACGCTATCAAACCAATCCTACATGCTTCATAATAAGGCTCTTCTGTATTTAAAAAAAAAGTTCTTCCCATCTCTGAACAGCTCAGGCAAGGAGCAGAAAGCTGCCTTGGTGGCCTGGGGTTGACATGGAGTGAGAACACTGGATCACGTGCCCCTGGACAGGGGTGCTCAGAGGATGCAGACGTGTCTGTCGTCAGCATCTCAGATCCCCGGGCTAAGAAAACAGGTTCCTGCCCCTCTTCTGAAGGTGCCCGGGCAACAGTGATCCATCGACAGCTGGGCCTGCCTGGAGGGCTGGGGTTAGCAGCTTGGAGCAAACCAGCTGGATCACCACAAGTGTCATTCTTATCTTTCCTATCGATATCAGAACAGCCTTCAGACTGCCACCTGCAGTTCAGGAGGCAGAGCTGAGGGACATAAAGTTACCCGGGAGGCAGTTTTCCTTTCAGACAAAAGGCTGGTCTGGCAAGATCCTGCAGCCCCCACCTCTCCCTCTGCTGCTGTCACAGACCCTGTGGAGGCCTCAGCCGACCCACACACTCAGCCTCAACTGCCAGTCTTGTACTGGACAAGGGTCTAAGAGGCTGGAGTCCTCTGGGCGGCAGTGGTCACGAGTCGTGTGTGCGCCTGTAATGTGAACGTGGGTGTGGGTGTGCACTCATCAGCCAAGCGTTCCCAGAGGAAGGAGGCTCTGGAAGGGTGGCGATTGGCCCGAGTCTGCATGGTCCAGGCAGGGTTACCCTCTCCCCCCACCCTCAGCACCATCATCCTGCTTCTCAAGCTGTAGGCCTGAGCTGGTATGAGGTTCTCTCCTGGTTGGCTCACCTAGTGGTCCGCAGTGAGGCGGGGTGGAGCCGGGCGGGGTCTGGGTGCCGGGGACCTCGTGGCCCTCAGGGTCCACACACCAGCAGAAGCCAGTGCTGCCGTGACACTGCAGGGGCAGGAAGTGGCCGTGCTCGTCGCACTGGGGGACGTGGAGCTGGCCCGGGTGGGCGAGCTGTGCCTGGGCGTCACGCTGCTGAAGTTCACAGGGCTTCAGTCCTGAGGTGGGGTCTTCCGGGACCAGGGCAGAGAAGACACAGAGGAGGGATGGATGGCATTACACCCTCCACCAGCCTCAGAGTCTCCTGTCTGAGGCCTTTCTATACTGGAGGACAGCACAGCATGGGGAAACAGCAGGCGCTGGGACTTGGAGCCCTGGTTCTTGTTTTAGCTCTGCCACCATTGCCTGATTTCTCCGATTCTCGCAGTTCACCCTCAGTCCCTGGCTGACTCAGCCCTCAGGGTAAAATCAAGAGCCACCAGGGCTTCTGTCCTCACATCCCAGAGTCTCCGAGAGAACAAGTGAAACTGCTCGTTCCCTGAGGCCAGAATTCACGTGTGAGAAGCTCCAGGTCAGCGGCCATCACTGGACTGTCCTCGGCCGCCATGTGGGCGTCCCTCCCACTCACGGAGCTCACGGCCCGTCGAGTCGGCTCACCAGGAAAGCAGAGCCCTGGGCAGTGACCCAGAACTACGGTGAGGAGGACAATGGCTGGTCGTACTCCGGCCTCCCTGAACGCCAACAACCAGTGAGCTACCCCCGACCCCGAAGCTGGAGGCCACTGAGGAGAATCCCACTAAGGCCCAGACCCAATGGAGTGGGAGCGGGCCGATGTGCCGCCAGGAAACAGCACCTAAGGAGCGGGCGTCCTCCGCCCGCTCTGGCCCCCGACCTTACCGGGTGTGCACTGGAATCCGTCCCCAAGATAGCCAGCTCGGCAGCGGCAGGAGAAGGAGCCTGCGGTGTTGTGGCAGGCCGCCTGGGGGTGGCATCTGCTTTCCGAGCATTCGTCCACGTCTGCAGAGTAGGGGCAGGGACAGAGGGTGAGATGGCCTCACGCAGTCTGTGCGGCCCCACGGCCCTCGTGCACGCAGATCAAGGACCAGAAGACCCTTGGGCCTGAGCAGAAACACACTGACGCCCATAGGGAAGCCTGACAGAATGAGGCCCAGGACACGAGTCACCCCGTTGGACCAAGAACGTCCAGTGCAGACAACAAACACTGTCACTTAGGAAGTGTCCCTCCTGTATTTCTAGAGCCTCTTCCATCTACAGTGCATTTGGGAAGTGAGGACCTCTGAACTGACCTCTAGGCTGTAAATCATTTGTTTCCCTTCCATGACACCACAATGAATACACGTGACACTAGCTTTTTCCTTCGTGTTGACACCGTTGCCCCAGAGCACTGACTGCAGACACGAGGAAGCCCAACGAGGCTCCACATGTTCTGAGTTAGAAGCACATTCCTGCCTAATTAGCGTCCTCCATCTAGAACGCCCCATTAATCAGAAATTTTCTTTACTTTCCACTTTCAGAAGAAATAGAAAGGAATAAGAGGGGCAGGCCCGGTTTAAGTTCAGGCGCTCCATGTTGGCGGCCCGGGGTTCTCGGGTTCAGATCCCGTGCATGGACTGATGCACTGCTTCTCAGGCTGTGCTGTGGTGGCGTCCCATATAAAGTAGAGGAAGATGGGCACGATGTTAGCTCAGGGCCAATCTTCCTCAGCAAAACAAAAATACCCCCCTGATCTCCAAACTACTCCATTCAGGTTCTATACTGTCACCCTGAACGACCCTTGAGGTTGGCCATCTGTGTCTTCAAGCACCACTCAAATGCCAGGTGGGCAGAGCGGGCAACCGTCCAGTTCCTGGGCCTGGAAGAAGCTGTAAAAATCAACATCCAGCCAAACTCAGGAAATTAAAGCTATTATAACACGTGCTAGATTACTCCTCAGGGCCACTGGCACCAGCAATGACGGAAGCAGGAATTCCTGAGACTCAGGCCCATTTCCAGAACCAGGGGTCATGTTCTTGGGGTTATTTTTGAACAGAGAGGGGACTCCCCTGAGCTAAGTCACTGAAGGTCTTAAAGCTGAGGGCCTCAGAGCTCTGACCAGACCCGGGAGGGCAGCCTCCTCCCAGTGGACACTGCCATCGTGGAGGCACGGGATCTGTCAGGAAGACAACTAGAGACAAAGTCCTGGAGAGACTGGGAGCATCAGATGAGACAGCCCGGTCCCTGGAAAGCCGCGAGGCCCCTCAGCGCAGTCCTGATGCCCTGTGGGTCCCGTGCCCAGAGAAAAGACTGGCGTCAAGTCAGCACCCAGGACGTGCACCCTCAGTGCCAGGGAGTGAGGTGCTTGTGCAAAGGATTCTTCTCTGCTTCCCAGGACATCAGGGTCAGGAGAAGAGGTGCGGACAGGCTCTCGGCCCCTGGACAAGGGAAGAGCCGACCCTGTACCATGGGGGCGGGTGGGTGCTGCCCTTTATGTTAACAATCACTGTGGAGGGTCTGTTGGGGCTTCTAGGACTGAGGTCCAGGCGACAACGTTCAGGCACGAGCCCTCTACCTTCCAGGAATGAAAGACGGCTCAGTCTCAGCATAATTCTCTATTCTATCCTCTATGAAGCTGGTAAAAAACCTGTTGAAAATGGGTTGCAATCCCCCATTTTGAGTTCATGTGTGGGTGCTTCGATGTTCTTCTCACTGCCTTAATTCTGAGCCCACACCCAAACCAGCTGAAATCCTTTCAAAACAAACTGACCGCTGGACTCTGGCCCCCTCCCTCCCCCCGCAGCATGGGTTTCTTTCCCACCACCCGGGAAGCATCCTGGCCCAGTTAACCCCAACCCCGCGCTGGACCCCAGCAGAGACTTCGGCCCACACGTTGGGCTCCCAGCTATTCGGCCGAGCGCCCACCGGCTGAGCCCCTGTGTGGTCCTGAGTGGCAAGTGGAGACCACCTCTCGGGAGGTTAATAAACTTCTCTCAAGCCAGTTCTGTCCTCCCGCCGCTGCACTGGCTTCTCCGTGCGGCACCCGACACCACATCTGAGAACAGGAGACCGAGAGAGAATCATCTCAGTGCCTCCCCCACGTCCCTCCTGAGCAATGACCTCGCTGAGGACTGGGCTGTCTGTAAGCCCTTCCTCAGCTCACACGTGCCCCGTCCTGGAGCGTCCAACTGGAGACGGTGGGCACAGTCGCCAGGATCTACAGGGACAGACGTGCCTGAGAAATATCCCGCTCACACCAGTAGAGTGGAAATCGATCCAGATTGAGGGAAGCTGGAAAAGACTCAGCTCTCCCTGGATCAAGTCATTCCTGCTAGCGACTCAGTGGAGAGCGAGAACTCAGGCTAAGGGCGGCCTCTCCAGGGAAGCTGCTTGTTAACAAACTGGCTGGAGAAAAACCCACACACCCTTTTACTGCTAGTTTCATGGAGTAAATAAATACGTGTGTGTGTGTGTGTGTGTCTTCTTCAAGAATGCACTTTCCACAAAATAGGGCCTTCACCTCTACTCTTCTCTACTTCTCTCTTTTCTCTACTTATCTCTATGATCACTGGGACACGTGCACACTGTGGCGTGCCTTTAAATATGCACACACACACACACTTCTCTACCTACCCTGCGGTCACCTTCGTGATGACCCAGCCTGATTTACGCACGGCTTAGGTCTTTAGGAAAACGACCGTCTTTTCTCTACCACCCCACAGCCTGAGCTTGGAAGGCAGCCTCTGAGATGCCCCAGAGATCCCTGCCTTCTGGTATTTGCCCTCCGTGTGACCTCCTTCCCTAAGTAACTTCTAACCAACACACTGAGGCAGCATTGAGGGGATGGCATCTTTGTGACCATAACTCCGTCTTGTGGCAGACTTTCTGCCCCGTTGTTGATGAAGTAAGCTACTTGGCTGGAGGGTCCATGAGGCAAGAAGAGAAGGTCACCTGCAGGCAACAGCCAGCCAGGACCTGGGGCTCTCGACCTGGAGGACTGAGTCCTGCCCGACCCCAGTGGGGCCATCAGATGAGACCCCACGTCTGCCACTCCCCTCGAGGACCCCAAAGAGAGGACGAGCCAAGCCATCCCCCGGCCCCCTGAACTATAGATAATAAATGTGTTTTCAGCTGCTTTATTTGGGGGTAATCTGTTATGCAGCAATCGAGAACTAACACACTGGGGAAGGAACTGATGAGTCTGGCATCTTTTTAAGTTTGTGGGTCCAGAGAGAAGCCCAAAAGTGAGAACCAGAGATAAGACAGGGACAATTAAAAATGGAAGAAACCCCAGAGGGCAGAATAACCAGGAATTCAATACTGTGAATTCCCAACGTGGAAAAGCAGCCACTCTCAGGGTCCCAGCGTGACCCAGGAGGTACCAGTCTCACAGGACAGAGCAGTTAAAGGCGGGAGAGAGAACAGTTCCAGACAGGATGAGCTCAGGCAGCATCCAACCGCAGTCCCCATGCTCTCCATTCGCCCTTGCCGCTCCTGCGCTGCTCTGAGCAGAGACCGAACGGATTAGATGAGCAGAAGCATGTGCCTGCCAGCCTGGGCAGCCCGATGTTTAACAAGAAACCTACCGACAGACTTCGATACATGTTCTCACCTCCTAGAGCCCAGCAGCGTGTTAAATCAAACTGAACGGTGGGTTCTTCTGGGTGGAAGAAGCACTACCCCCGTGGGGCTTAGAACCTCTAGGAGCTCGTGGGCCGCTCCTGCCCTGTACCTGTAGGGGCGCCCCTCGGTGCCAGGCTCTGTTACAGGCGGCCCCCCAGCTGATCCGGTAGGACAAGCGCGTGTGACCACAGATCCTCCTCATTCTAAGTGAGAGACAGGAGCGTCTTTAGGGGAAAAATCCAGGCTGAACTGAGCCGTGGCTTTGGTGATTTCAGGGAACCTCGCAGCAGAGGCGGAGACTAACTAACTAAAGAGCAAGGTCCCGAGGCAGCCCGGTGGTGGAGTGGTTAAGTTCTCACGCTCCACTTCAGCAGCATGGAGTTTGCGGGTTCAGATCCTGGGCATGGACGTACACACTGCTTATCAAGCTATGCTGTGGCAGCATCCCATATAAAGTAGAGGAAGAGGGGCATGGATGTTAGCCCAGGGCCAGTCTTCCTCAGTAAAAAGAGGAGGACTGGGAACAGGTGTTAGCTCAGGGCCAATATTCCTCACACACACTCAAAAAAAAGAGCACGGTCCCGACAACACCGACCAGCCTGCAGTGCCCGACCTCTGCTCCATCCACAGCACGAGGCTGCAGCCTGCTGCCAGCCTGTCCTGCTGATGCCCGCAGGAGGCGGCCAGGGACCAGACAGCTGGTGAGGAGGAGGCCCAGCTGCTCAGACCGCCACGAGGTTCCCGGGGTCACAGGGCTGTTCTCAGCAAACTCGCGTGTGGCCCAGGAGACCGGGAGCTGCTGTGGCAGCGGGTCCAGGAGAGGACGAGCCTGCCTTTTGGCTTATGCTCCCCAAACAGACCCTTCTCCACTCCAAACCCTCTCCCAGCATTCTCTCCCCCCACGTCTCATGTGACAGTAATTTATGTGTATTACTGACAGACGGACAGCATGCAATTGAGTGTTCAGTCACGTCACGTTTGAAAATCTCTAAGGGATTATGTAGATTTACTGAAAAATCTCTACACTAAAATACCACTAATCCCAGTGTCATGAACATTTACACCCAGGGAGTCACACCTGGTTTTTCAGTAACAACCTCGCACATTATTTCTAATTAAACTTGAACAGTGAGCCCTGCATCCTGGTTCAGCGATTCTGTAAAATACCGTATGAAGTCTTAAAGGAGTGAGCCTTCTGGGAGAGAAGTTTTGAGTAATTAGGCACGCGACAATGTCCTCTTCTATCTTTTGAGTCTCCCCGGCCCCGAGAGAGGAGAGAGGGAGAGAATTAGAGAGAGACGTGCTGCTCTGGTTTGTGGTTAGAACAGCAGGCGTGACAATCAGTCGTCAAGCTCAGGATGGTACGTATGCTTAGAGGTCAGTCACTTAAACGACCCCTTCAACCCAGGGCAGCTGCTAGAAGTCGGCACCACGAAGAGGTGAATTAGGCCATTAACCAAAGACAGAAGGTGGGGAGACACACGACCTTCCCCAGTCCCTCCGGCCACACTGGCTCAAGGCGTGGGGGTCACATGCTGGCCGCCCCCCGCGCTCCAGGACCGTCTCCACAAGGAGGACATGCTTGGCCGTCCAGTCAGGGAACCACCTCACCCTTCCTGACTCAGGACACCGTTCCTCTCTCTCGGCAATTCCCAGGCTGTGCAGTCAGAGGAAGGGAGGGGTCCTGGCTCCGTGGGCACGAGCGTCCACGGCGACCTTCCCAAGTCGCTGAGGGACCACGTACTCACCGCTGCACTGGTGCCCGTCGCCCGCATACCCGGGCAGGCAGACGCAGCTGAACACGCTGCCCCCGTGGTGGATGCACCGGGCCCGGCCGGCGGGGGCGCAGGAGTGACTGCCGTCCTCGCAGGGGTTGGGAGGCGGGGCGGCCACTGCAAAGAGAGAAGGCGAGCATGTCCCAGCTCAAGCCTGCGAGCCTTGAGCCCTGCCCCCACAGTGTGGCCCGCACCAGCTGCATCGGGACATCGGGGGGCTTGTGGGCCGTCCCAGAGCCCCCGAGTCAGAACCTGACTCTCAACAAGATCCCTAGGGCGTTCTGTCTGCACGGTGACCTTCGAGAAGTGCCGCTCTGGACGGTGGTTAAAACAGAGGCAGGAGGATCGGTCACGAAACAGACAGTCCTCGATTCAAGTCTGTGCCTCAGGACGACCGCTCCACACACACACACCCGCATGTGCACACACACGCACACACTCACACGTGCACACACACCCACAAATGCACACAGGTGCACACTTAATGCACCCGCATGTGCACACTCACCTGCATGTGTACACACGCACGCACGCTCATGCGCACCCACAAGCACACACCTGCACGTGCACAGACGCACATTCGCATGAATACACGCACGCACACTCACGCATGCACACACACTTGCAGTGCACACACACACGGTTTCCACCATCGCTGGACTCATCCCACTGGGTTAAAAGTGTATTTTCTCTATCATCGTCCAGCTCTACCAAGGGGATGAATTTGGAATTCTAGTTCTTTTGGATCTGTTTTCAGGCCCAGAGTGTGTTTCTGGAACCGCAGAGAGGGTGTGTTGATCACAGATGGAACTCTACAGCTGGCCAAGCAGGACACGCATCTTTGAATCACAAATCCGTTTCATTCACTTGAGAAAGATCTGATCTCTAACCAGAGCTGCTGGCATGTCTCAGAGGTCAGTCTTGCTACGGGACTGGGCCAGATACTGAGATTCGGGAATCCCAGAGAGGAGGACACCCTCCAGTAACAAGAGAGGATACCCCCTGAGAGGAGAACACCCACACAAAACAAACAGCTGAACTGAGCTGTCGCCTTGGGTGCTTTCAATGTACACTGTCTGCTTCCCAGAGAACCGCCCAGCAGAGCTCTGCCCGCCAGGGTCAGTGGGCACACTGACGAATCCAGACCGAGCTTCCGCACGTCGGGGCCACAAGGAGACGGCGCCGGCACTCACCGCGGCACGTGCGCCCGTCGCCCACAGACTCGTACCCAGGCCGGCACTCGCAACGGTAGCTCCCCGGCAGGTTGACACACACAGCGCTGGGGCCGCAGCGGTGGAAGCCGGCTGCACACTCGTCCACGTCTAAGAAGAAAGGAGACGGGGAGTGCTGCTGAGTCAAGGCTCCTTCGAGTGGAAGGTCTGAAAACTCAGCGTTTCTCACCAACTCCAGGCTTGACAGACCAGCGGTTGGTGGACGGAACCAGCATCAAACGCAGGCTTTCCCAGCCTGAGACACGGATGCAAGCACAGAGCATCACCATAAACAACAAACACAGGCTCCAAGTCATTCATGTATGAGCCACAGGGAGATATACTTTGAATAAATACTCTGAGAACTCTTTAAACATTTAAAAAGTACTGAACATTTAGAAGAAAAACACTAACAATTTTTCACTTAAAATGTGAAGAAATTTCTACTGCTGCTTTTTGGGATATAATGTGTTTCTGAAAGAAACACAATGTTGGAAATCTAAAGATAACCAGAAAATGTACTTTTTAGTCAATGTAAGAAATACTTAATGCAGGCTTAAAATGACAAAACTTAAGAACTCAAAATATCCAGGAATTGCAATGGATGTCTTTTTTCCCCACAATCGCAGCCCCAGATACCACCTCCAGACCATCCTCTCAAACCTAACCAGAATATGCTATGGTTTTTAAATAACTGTATTTAGACAAACAGCTGCTAAATCCATCAATGGAGATGGCAGAGATGACAGACACTGGTCTATAAACACGATGCTGGCAGCTCCGTGAAGGAGCTCAGGGGACGGCTCTCACCTGCACAGCTCCGTCCATCCCCCTGGTACCCTGGTGCACACACGCAGGTGTAGTCCACACCCATCCCCGGATGGCACCGGGCTGTCGTGTCACACGCGTGGCTCCCGTCGTAGCAAGGATTCACGGGGGCAGGGTCTGAGTCCCCTGCGTGGTAGAGAGGAAAAAAAACAGAAGCACAATCTGGCTGTGAAGAGCATGTGCAGAAGGAAGGAGACAGAGGCCTGAAAACTGACCCCTACCATCTGGGGCCACCTGCGCCCTCACAGATCAGCGTCCAATCTAGGTGCACCGTCTGTGCTTCGGTGTAAACCCCAGAGCGGCTTCCTCCGCCCACCCCAGACACTGCCCTTCTCCCGCTGACAGGTCTGCGTTCAGAGAATACACGTATCCAACATGCGGCATCCTTTATTTTAAAGCACTTTCGCTCCATCATCTCATGCAATTCTCAGGATGATTCAGAGGTGGGCTGCCGTCCCCGTTAGCTGTCATTTTCACAAGTCAGGAGAGTAAGCGAGAGACTCTGGAAAAACTGCCCGAGCTCAAAGCCAGGAAGTGGCACGGCAGGACTCAGACTCCAAATTTCTGCCTCTAAATTGAGCAATCTCCCACTAAAATTCAGTACTTTATAGGTCAAATTTTAATTAATGAGAAAATCTTGCTTTTTTAAGATTTGTAACAGCAAACAGGAATGATTTTTGCAGTACTTATTTTTCAGGGTTAACCTTGCCACAGACCCATCCTTCCACAAGTAGTGATGACCGTTTACATCTGAAATCCTCCCCGAACCTTCCAGTTTTCTCTGAGCCTGCTGTGAACAGGATACTTGGGCAGAATCCCCGACGGGACACCCTTGTTTCTGGTCAACTCCTACCATCGCTTTCTAAGAAACACCACAGCGTGTTCCTGAAGTGGAGTATCCTATTATTAGTTCCCATATTATGGCCTGAAAAAGGAGGGCCTTGGTTCACCTCAATGGTGTTGGCTGGAGTAACAGAATCTTTGCCAAGAAAAAGGACCAACAAACGGTTCCAGCCCTTTTTAGACCTGAGGAACTTAAGTCTGTCAGCATGAGCCAAGCCCCCAAATTACGCAGATGTCCTGGGATGTCCCTCCTCCCCCTCTGGACCTCTTCGAAGGCAGGATGGAAGCACAGCACTGGGGTTGGGGTGGGGTACAGACCAAGGTCCTGCGTACAGCCCCAGGGTGTGTTCCCGTCAAGAACTGTGTGGTCATGTCCTCACTGGAGGCCCCCGTAAGACAAGAACCTGACCCCCCCTATTATTCTCTGTGTTAGGAGAAGATTCTATACAAATGCCCTGCTGACCCAGCCAAAGGGAAGTGAGTTCCGAGATGCTTTTATTTATAAATACGAACGCTCAGCCTTCTTGCTCAGTCCTGTCAGCACCAGACCTTCCCAGGCCCATTCCCGCCAAGACCGGTGAGTCCACACGGATGCAGGGCTCACACCCTGCCAGGCATTGAGAGGAAAACGCAGCATAGAAGTGGACTCACAAACCTGACAGGACGCACTGGCCCGCCTGAGCTGAGGAGGGAAAGCCATGACTGCACGGTGCTGAGCTCAACAGACTTCACTGGCGGGACGGCCCCCTAATCTGCAGAGCCCGCGCAGACGCAGAGCCCCTTGTTCAGGGGTGACTGAGAAGTTCAGGACGATGGCGGCAGAGCTTTCAACCAAGCGCAGAGCCCTGGGCACGGAGCCCGTTCACCGAATTTGGTTTCCAAAGATATTATTTTAAAAATACATTTCTAAGGCCATTTGGCTATTCATTCTCTATGGCTTGTTAGCTTTTCTCCTATTACAGCAAGAACAGCAACAAACTTCTTCAGACATTCTCCATTTCGGCCTCACCCTCTGAGAGGATGTGGAACTACTCTACTCATTTAATCAAGAGGGGAAGAGGGTTTCCCTTAGAGGAGCCATGCCTCCAGCATCTCTGTGTGGAGTCTGCCCAGTTTCCTCCACTCTCTCACAGGAGCCCTGGAGAGGGAGCAGGGGGCAGGGGGTTCCTGGGTCCACTCCCTGACCCCACAGGAGACAGCCCCCCGCCCCCCACTCCAGCACTGGTGTGGGGGCTCCTGACTGCTCCCTGGGGGCCTGAAACCGGAGCCCCCACCCCGGGGGGGCTGCAGCTGCGCTGTGTCACAGGCGTTCCAGCCAGATCACCGCTCCCCTGGAGAAAGGGGAGGCTCTAAGACACTGCTACGTACACACCAACAGGGGAAGGAAAAGGGTTTATTTTTGTCGTTTTTATTTTTTGCTGTTTTCTTTTTCTTTCTCCCTCGTTTTTCTCCTATTCAGGGAGAATGAGCAGTATTGCTGTTTCCTGTAGGGGTGGATAAAGCAGGGTTAAAAACACACATTCCCTCTTCTAAAATCTGGTCTAAAGTGGGGGCAGTTAGGGCCGGCCCATTGGCCTAGCAGTTAAGTTCACGAACTCAGCTTCAGTGGCCCAGGGTTTGCGGGTCAGATCCTGGGTGGGGACCTACTCACTGCTCATCAAGCCATGGTGAGGCGGTGTCCCACATAGAAGAACTAGAAGGACCTACAACTACGTACTGGGGGCTTCGGGGAAAAAAAAAAGAAAAAAGAAATAAATGAACTGGGGGCAGTCGAGGCCAGTGGAGGCCGGAGGAGAAGCACTGCCCCTCGGGGCCCTGGGGCTGCTGCCACGCTCCAGCTGTGACCAGCCCACTCACTCCACATCTGCACTGCAATGTCTGTAATGGGGGGATAACACGGACAGGGGTGGGGGCTGTCGTGGGACTAAATGAGTTAACTCACGAAGGTACTTAGAACAGTGCTTGGCACCAAGTACACCGTCCTCTGCTATTATTTATTGCTGTTGTTGACTTAGGTGCAAGGGAAAATCACAGAATTCTAGAGGCACATCATCAGCTTGGTCCCTGCCAGTTCGCTGGCCTTCTCTGATCCTGTGGCCCTCATGTGGCATCTCTTCCCTACGTGATTCCAGAACCGAGCTGGACTCCGTTTGGGGGCACCTCCGCTAAGCACTGTTTTCACGGATCCGACGCCTACGCCCAGCAGAGAGCTGCACTGGACACTTACAGGGGAGGCCGTTCTCCCTACCTGTTTTTGTCTAAATCTCTCCTTGAGAAATCAGCAACAACAGTCTTTCCCCTCCTCCTGATGTACATGTTTCTCTAAAATCAACGGATGTTTCCATGCTATTAATTCCCCACCTTTGGGCACCCCAACCAAGTCTCCGAAAACTAGCCCACCACCCACCACGCCGGCAAACACAGAATTTTCATTTCACATCTCCAGGAGTCCAGTCCTCTGACCCAATCCCTTGTTATCTCACTGCTGATGAGACACACACGTGCTGAGCCCGAGGAGGCTTCACAGCCCTGGTCTCTGGTGAGAGATCCCAGAACTGCCTGCCAGTCATGGAACCGCCTCTTGGGCCGGCATTATGGACAAGGAGCTGGGGAGGGGACATGCCTCTTGCACTGGGGGAAACACTACCTATTGGCTTTCAGAACCACAGCGTCCCTGTGCTCTGACGACATCACTTCCTCTCTGCAGGGGTCCCTCACGTGGCAGGCTCATCCTCTGGCTTCCCCCCTCAGTCTCCACCTCGAGGACAGGCCCTGCTTTACGCACCCTCACACCCAGCGCCCAGCACAGAGCCTGGCCCCCGGGTAACCCTGAGACTCAGAAGCGGTGAAGAGAGGAGGTCAGAGGTAATTTTCACCCAGCAACAGAAGAGGAGGCTGTACCTTCAACAGGGCCCACGTGACTGGTCACGGCGAACCTCAGCACCCTCTCTTCGTCGGTGTACAAGGCGAAGACCCGGTCCACGCTCAGCTGCTGGGTGGCAGGCACGGCCCGGGGCCGGGGGGCGTGCCTGCAGGTCTGGAAGGTGATGTTCTGGTGGACGCGGTAGGTCCGGGTCTGGTTGGCGGCACCGGACGTGAGGGTGTAGTCTCTGGAGCTCGTGGAGGTCACGGCTGTGAGAGCCACAGGCACAAGCGTCAGTTTAACAACATTCGGCGCCCGGGCTTCACGTGCACGGTCAGGTTTCCTCTCATTCCTGGAGCACCTTCCCAGGGAAGGTCCCGGTTTACATGGGAAGCTGTCATCCCGAGAACCTGAGCGGACGCAGAGCCAGCAGCCAAGAGGAGGCAGCACAGTCGGCGCCGTCACTACTGCAGAGAACTCAGGCTGCGTGCGGGCCGCGCCGAACGCTGTGTGCTGCCTCGGTGCCGCGATCGCACACAGAGCCTGCAGAAGTGACGCCTCTGAGACGAGGCTGGTAAGCCGGGGAGCCGGAGCTCAAGTCGGCCTGACCCTACACCCCAGGTTTTAACCAGCCCATCCTCTACGTGGCACAGGGGACGGCTTCCGACACCCCGCACTGGAGGTCCTTTCTCTCAATCTGAGTCGGGAGCTCAGGCCGGTTTTCCGGCCACCAGCTATTCTGTGCGCCTGCCAGGTCTCCACTGCTCATCCTCTTGCCCAGCTTCCGGCTCTGGCAGCGCAGGAGAAGCGAGGGCCCCAGGGAGGGCAGAACTGGAGGCTGTGCGGCCCCGAGAAGGAGGCAGCATCCCGCACTCGGGTGTGTATAGAGCACACCACACACCACCCTTGCAGGGCAGACAGAGAAGTGCTACCACTCGCTCTAAGAGGAGGAAACAGGCTCTCGGAGGAGGGACCTTCCCCCATGCAATCTAGACGGCAAACTCAGGACCTGAGTCCCTGTCTCCCGACTCCAGATCTAGCACTAGCCTCACGACCCTGGGCAGCCCCTCTCTCTGTGACTTCACAGCAGCTGAAACAGGGAGACGGGACAGGCATGAATTCCAGCCATTGGGGTTCCCGTGGCCCAGAGAGCAGGGTGGTTAAAAGCTATAGAATTCCACCACTGCTGCCCACCCCAGACAAGGCTGTTGATGACGACACTATCATTATTATTCGGAAGTTCTGGGCCGGGGTCCTGAGGTTCTTGTGAACAGCAGCTGGCATTCTGCTCACTTCACTGTACATTTGATAATAACAACAACAATAATAAAAACGACACTGAGCCCACTTTACGTGCCACACATGAGTCTAGGTCGTCCCCCAGTCACTCCACCCTCACGGCCATCGGGAGGTCGGTTCTCCCCACTCAGGATGTGAGAACGGGCCACACCACCTGAGTCTGAGTGGCGGTAAAGCTCCTTGTAGGGCGCGACGTGGGCGGTGACGTTCGCTGGGATGGCAGGCACCTGGCCTCGAATGTCGGTCTTAATGCTCAAGTAGTTCTCCGGGTCCAGCCCCTCTGCAGTCTGAGTGACCCGGAGCGTCTCCCCTCCCGGGTGGAAAGTAACCTCCATGTCGTGGGTGAAGGCAGCGCCTGGAGAGGAAGAATCGGCACCAGATGAGAGGTCGGCATCTCCGTGAGGGATCCCGATGCCAACACCTCCCAGGTTCACTGCTGCGGGGGCCGGGCCGGACGGAGGAGCTCGCCGACCCTAGACCAAGACCTGTGAGCCGCTGATCTCTCCCCCAATTTCTGTCAGAGTGTGGTTTCACCCACTCGGTCTCACAGCACTGCTCTTTGTGGGAGCCTGTGTTCTGTGAGAAATAAATGCCTGGGAACATCTTTGGCTGTTCTCCTTCTAAAGATTGTCAGACTTAGCAAAAACAAACAAAAAACGCAGGACATCCACTGTGTTTCGATTTCAGATGAATAATGAATATATTTTTAGTGTAAGTATGTCTCATGCAGTATTTGGAGCATACTTACACTAAGTTATTAAAATTATTCATTGTTTATCTGAAATGCAAACGTAACTGGGCACACTGCATTTTATCCATTTTTGACTCAAGGTTTATTCTAACCTGATTAAAAGCCACACCCTACACACAGCTGGAGGCGGGGAACTTCTCCCAGTATTTTATGTGCAATAAGATGAACCCATTAGGAAACAAGCTCTTTCAGGGGAGATGAGAAGCCAAAAAGCACCTACACTCCTGCTATCAAAGTGGGGTCCTGAGACCAGCATTAGCATCTCTTGGGGGCTTCTTAGGGAAACGGAGCCACAGACCCAGCCCAGGCCCACTGAACTAGAATCCGCACTTCCACAAGGGCCCGGCGCTGGGTGCAGGGTGAGGTCTGAGAAGCACCATCTCTACTCTTATAGGTCAGAGTCCGGGGGGGCCAGGCCCTGCCCCTCGGAGTTGAGGCCCCTCCAGGTGCCCTGTGATCACCACCTCATGTCCCCTGGACAGAGTCTGACAAACAAGCTTGAACACACTGGAGTGAGGACACGAACGCTGCAGATGCAATCATCCTCTTTCTCAGAACCATTTAGAAGTTCTGGAGAACATTTAGAAGAAATCACTGACTTTCAAACACAGTCCTGCGAGGCCAAACCCTCCCCAACTACCTCCAGACAGAAAACCGCACACATTGCCCCAGACGTGGGATGAGCGAATCCTCTCACTGAATAAAGACCCAGGGTACCATGCCACAGATGCAGCGTGGCCCCTACTCACCCGTGAGGCTGAAGCCGTTCGTCCAGCCCGGTTTTTCTAAAGCAAAGAGCCAACCAAACAGGCCTCCAATGGGCATGAGAGGGAGAAGGGCCCGGGCCGCAGGCTGCGGGATGTGGCTGATAGCCGTGTAGGCTCTGCCGTCATTGCTCACGATGTAAGCGTGCAGGTCCACGTCCGTGAAGTGCACGGGCATGTGGCCCACGTGGAGGTGGCCGCTCACTTTGCCGTTGACGCGATGAGGGGCCCCTAAAAGACAGCAAGTCCAGTCAACCCGGACCGTCCTCCCCCTGGGGACGGGCCCACGATGATGCTCCACTGACAACTCTCCAAACTCAATCTTTGCCATTTTCACAATTCCCCAACTGACCGACTATCCACTTAAGTATGCAAGAGACCTGTCTCCCATCTCCTGTCTCCCATCCTCCCCCTCTCCCGTCCACTCTGACTCTAATGAGCTGGCAAAGGGGAGGAAACCTTTCTGGTTAATCCTCAGACTGGGAAATCAGCCCAAACGTGCTCATTCCTCAAACATCCATGGAGCCCCTGCAAGATGCTAGAGCTCTGACGCAGAGTGGAGACGCAGGTCCATGAGCAGAGCCCAGGGGCAGCTGGAAGCCACAGCGGCAAAAGGACCCCAGCAGCCCCGGCCCCAGTCGCACGGCGTTCCCCACCTTCCGGCAGGCAGTGCTGCCCGTTTCCATAGAACTGAGACTGGCAGTGGCAGCAGAAGCCGGTGGCGTAGTCAGTGCAGAAGGCATGCCGGGAGCACTGCCCGTGGTGGTGTTCGCAGGTCTCCTTGCTGGCGGTGTTGTACGTGAAGACTGGAAAGGAAACAGACCTCGTCAAAGGCCCCTGTGATTCAGCACCACTGCTGCCACCAGACACCGCATCTGCTCCATAAAATCAGTCCAGATTGCAGTAAACAGACGGGTTTGATGTTTAAGAGGCAGGAATAACATTCAAACCAAGGGAATTAACTCTCTTTGTCTTCTGGCAAGAAGTACGGCTGACAGCTCCCATCTGCTCTCACTGCAAAGCTGGTGAGCCGGGACGGGGCTGCTCCTCTTTGGTGGGAGCTCGGGGACACGGAGGCCGAGCAGGAGCCCGGGTCGGGTTGAGCTGTACAGCACTGCCATTTCATGGATCAAAACCAGCCAAAGAGCAGCAACTTCATACGGTTCAACCTAATAGTACTGAGCTCCTGAGACGAAAACCACAGAGACTAACACACGTGGTCTGCATCTAACTGTTCTTCCCTTCTCTTAGGGGACCCTGAACTGGAAGACAACAACCTATAGCTTGTGTCACTGCCCAGAAAGATTTTTCTGAGAGGGAAGGGCCTTGGAGAGCGGGTGTGTCCATGAGCACACACACACCCAGTCCCACACACACCCCTTGAGGCTCTGGGCTCTGCAGGGCTCCTTGTTCTGGGTGTGGCACGGGCGGCATGCCCGCAGCAGAGAGCCCCCCCAGTCACAGAGCTTCGGGAAGCCACAGTGTAAACGCAAGGCTTCCCTAGTGGCTCCTTCCATCTCTCACTTATTCTGCCCATTAAAAAAAGAAAGAGGGCCATTTTGTGCTACCAAGAAACAAAGGAATTGGAGCAGGTGTCATCGTCCCTAAGGGGGTAGGGGGCGCTGATGGACCAGAGAGGGCTTTGTCCCCGACCATGGGGATGAACCCAATCCCAAGCACGGCCACCAGGAGGCAGAAGGCTGTGCACACTCTGCCCCCACATCCCAGGAGCCTAACAGCAGGGACGGCCCAGAGCTCGTGCTGGACTGACGCTGCTGGGAGATGCCAGCTCCCGAGGGCAGACGTCCTATCTCAGGAAAAACTGGGTGGTGGTGGTGTTCCAGGTCTAGGGCTGAAAAGCAGGAAACAGGAGGGAAATGAAGAAATTAGATGGACACTTATCCAGTATTCCAGGGGAGAAGAGAAAGCAATCTAATGGAGGGAAGATGTTGCACCATATAAGTAACAATGTAGCCGGGGTAAGGACTTGTAACAGCAAGTGAAAATATAACCAAGTTACCACTTAAATAGAGCTTAATACATGCCAGACATTATTCTAGGAAGTTCAACTCTTTTAAAGAGCAGGGACTGTTTTTACCCTGTTTTGCAGATAGACAAGCTAAGGCACAGACAGAAGGTCACATGGGCACAGGTGGCAGAGCTGAGATTTGCACCCAGGAAGCCTGCTCGCGCTGGAGCCCGAGTGCATGTCTCACAGGAGCCAGGTTAAGATCTGATCAGGTTTCTGGGTTAATCAGCAAAGGCTCCAGCAAGTAGGGCTGCGTCACACTCTGTAGATCAGGCTCGATGGCAGGGGACGGTGGGGATTCTCCGGGTGGTGTCACAGCTAGAAAAGCCCTGGTGAGAAGGTGACAGTGGCAGCAGCTTTAACTCCCCGACAGACAGAACTTGAGAGCTGCTTACAAACCCCGAGAAGCAGTGAGCTGAGGGGCTGGCAGGACAGACAGTCTGACGCGAGCCCGACTTCTGACTGAGAAGCCGGTGAGAACGACATGGGGACTCGAGACCTGGTGTGGGGCCTCGAGGACGTGGCTGAGAAATTCCAGTCGATAGAGACAAAAATCAGGCACAACCATGAACGGCACTTAAAACAGGAAAGTGACACAAAACTCAAGACAGAAAAAAACCATGGACAACGATAAAAAATATTATAAGAGGTGGCTGGGAGGAAAACTAAATCACGGTCCACCACTGATTTCAGAAAGGAAAAAAACCCAGTTTAAGTAAAAGGAAATGAAAATAACTCGGGAACGTCAGGGTCCTGGGTTTCTCGGTGCAGACAGTCACACGGGGTGTGGAGAAGGGCACCTGGAGGCACCGGCCACCTGCGGGTGCCCTGGCATCGGCCGCCTTCAGGATACTCCCTCCAGACCACAGGGGGACAGAGGGTGGCAGAGGGTCCCAAGCTCTGGGACTCGACCGCGACCATGGCTCCAGTGGGTCTGGGAAACGACGGGAACCCACTGCATCCGCCTCTAAAATCAGGTGACACCCCCTTCTCACACCTCCACTGCAAAATTCAGTTTTTCTTAATGTCCTTCTGAGGCAGGTCTTAGGAAAGTCATTTTCAGGAAATTCAGGTAAAAACAAAATCGAGCTCTAAATACCGTCCTCCCAAATTAAAGAAATGACGGGTTTGTGCTGTATTCCCTCTGTTTGTTATTATTATTTTTTTAATTTTATTTATTTATTTATTTTTCCCCCAAAACCCCAGCAGATAGTTGTACGTCATAGTTGCACATCCTTCTAGTTGCTGTATGTGGGATGCGGCCTCAGCATGGCCGGAGAAGCGGTGCGTCGGTGCACGCCCGGGATCTGAACCCGGGCCGCCAGCAGCGGAGCACGAGAACTTAACCGCTAAGCCACGGGGCCGGCCCCTCCTCTGTTATTTTGTGAAGACTTGTTCTTCAGCCCAATTCTTCTCCTGAGTGGATTGTGGGACAGGGAGCGATGGCATGGAGAAGGGCTACAGATGTGGAGAGGCAGCTTAATGCATAAGAAGCTGGGTGAGGAGGCCTGGCTTTCCAGGGTGGGCAGAGCCCAGCAAAGCAGCCAGCAGTGCACAGACGCGGCTGTGCAGGAGTCTGGCCGACCGGCATGCAGACTGCATTTTTCTACAAAATAATGGTTAGGCTCCCAGGAAAGGCTATTATGAGACTGAAACTGTAATTATGACGGGTAATCAGGTCCTGGTAAGCTGGCCTGGGGATGTGAAAACGGTTTTTGTGTCGAGTATGGCAATCTCAGGATGGAATTCAGAGCCAAGAACACAAGCCCGGCCCTCCAGCTGCAGGAAGGCTACAGGGAGGAAAGAAGAGAGGCTCGCTCCTAAGTAGCAGGGCACGAGGCTCCCCTCGGGATCCCTGTTCCGTGCCTGAATCATGCACACTTAACACTGAACAACGTCAGCCTGTTGGGGCAAGGTGAATGCCTGTCTCGATTCTCTTTCGTTCATTCAATAATGCACCAGGTATTCATGGAGTGCTCACGATGGGCCTGGTGCCAGTCTAGGAACTGGGGACAGAGCAGGGACAAGAGCGATGAGAAAGCCTGCCCGGAAGCCTGCGTGCTCCCGGGCAGCGGTCGACCGACAGGTAATTAGTATGGAGGGTGGTGTCCAGGGCTGTGCAGACGCGAATCAAGGAAGGACAGAAGGCTGGGGGGAGGTGACTATCAGGGGAGGCCTGGGGAGAAGGTGACCTCTGGGCAGAGGCCTGGAGGAGGGAGGACGCCGTGTCAGGCAGGAGGGGCAGCAGAGAGGAGGCCGCAGGGGTAGCCACGGCCAGTTCTCTGGCCTCGCAGGTCAGGAAGGATTTGGGCTTCGGTCTGAGCGAGCAGGAAGCTGCTGGTGGCTCTGAGCAGAGGAATGGCAGGCTCTGACTCAGGGTCCCTCAGAAGGCGAGTTGGTGGGGGACAGCTGTGGAGAGGACAGCAGGGGCTGACCTGGAAGACTGAAGGACGGAGGGAGGGACAGGAGTCCGCAGTGACGTCCACCTCTCGGCAGGAACCCGGGGGCTGGAGCTGCGCTTCCTGAGACAGGGGCTGGAGGGGCAGGCTTCTGGGGCACGGCTCTCGCCATGCTGCCAGGCGTCAGGGACTTGCACCTCGTCTCAGCACGAGTCAGCCGTCAGAGGAGAGCGGCATTTCTCCCCACGGATTCCACAGATTCCCCATCAGAATCTCAGAAAATGCAGACCCCCTGCACACCCCAGACCCCCGAGCTCTGACTACAGCAGATCAGGAATCTGAGCACGGCCATACCCACTGACGGTGATGTTCAGGATATCTGCAAACCTTCCATTTCTGAGCTAGAGAACGCTCAGTAAGGTAGTCAAGGATTTTCACCCAACCAGCAGCAGCTCCGGGGGTGGGTGGGATTTCAGGGAGCACTCTTGCGTCCATTCCGGCCAGCTGAGAGGGGCTGGGTGCGATGTGAAGGTCCCTCAGCGGAGGAAAGCCCGAGCCAGGGCCTCCCTGATGAAGGGGAGAACTGCACCCAGAAATGCGATCCCGAGAGCGTCTGTCTCCCCAGGGCGAGGAGAGCCGGACTCCCAGCCCAGGCGCCTTCTCACATTTCTGTGGGAACTGCAGGTACATGCAGAGACACTGGGTGACTTGGAAGTGTGGAGTCAGAGTCTGGACCCGGCTGGAGGAAACGCACGATGAGCATCCAAAACCAAGGTGGCGTTTTTTCCTTTTCAGGGGTCATTTATGTGCCTCTTTACATCATAGTTTCAAACATATCTTCACACACTTCTTCCTACTCTGGTGAGGAGATAGCTCCATTTTACAGATGAGGAAACTGAGGCCAGAGATTATATGATCTTCTGGCTGTAAATCCCCCACTTCTTCCATTACACCCACAGGACTCAAGAGTGGGGGCCTCAGAATCACCAGGGGCCTGGTTTAAAAATGCAGATTCTCAGACAGTGGAGGTGGGGCATGGAAACGGGCATTTAAACAAGGGCCCAGGTGAATTAGACACAGTAGACCAGAGCCCACACTCAGAAACAGTTTGTATTCTTTGCTTCCTCTCTCCCAAATTTCGCGCAGGGGCAGGCTGTCCTCCAGACCCTCCGGGGACCCTCTGCCTGGGAGCTCCTCTCAAATGGTGGAGACAAGTCTGCAGTCAGTCAGGCACAGCCGGAGGGCGGGGGCCAGCGGTTTGAATGAGCTCCGAATGCAACGGGTTTGTTAACTAGGTCAGACGGCTGCTAGAGGAACCTTAACACAAGGATTTTTAAATCTCATTTATTTTTTCCATTTAATGCTTTTCTTATTCTTCTCAGATCCTTAATAGAAAGAAAAATGGGGGGAGGGACACACAAGAGAAAAGCAGTAAAGATGCTGCCAAAGTACCTGAGACTTGTCCTAACCAGGAGGCTGTCACAAAGATGGAAACTCCTCTGCACTTGTTCTGATCCATCCTTCAATCTTCGCTGTTCCAGAAACACTGAAGCAGCATCTTCATCCCCGGCCGCCCTCCTTCTCTGGGCTCCGGCGCAGCACGCGGTGGGGCGGGCAGGGGGCGGCGGAGTTCACGTGGGAACACAAAATGGGCAATTCCTTTGGGCACCCCGCCCCCCCAGCTGGAGTGACCTTTCCTGTTAACAACTTTTACTGCTGCCTCAAGAAAAGGACCCATGTTTTCACTCAGGACAGATTTTCTCTTTCCCCGCCTCCCAGAATGATAGAGTAGTAAGAGAACCCACATTCAACTTTATAATGAAAAACCGTGGACTGCTTCCCCCTCCCGTTTTCCTGTTTGTGTCTGACGTGTGCGTGGCGCACAGAGACACTGGCACCGCATCAGGACCCTGGGGGCTGGGGGGTTACATCCACTCTCACGACGGGCGCAGGCTCTCCCATGTGGGTGTCTCACGGGTGTGGGGGCCTCCTGTTCACAGACCCTCAGCGACCCGGAGGTGCGGCCGGAGAGCGGCTTCAGCGCCAGGAAGGCTGGACTGGGCAGTGGAGTCTGCTTGCGTTCAACCCAGCATGGAAGCCACATGGGCAACCCATTCTTGCAGCCTTTCCTAAGGCCACGGCGGAGCTGGACCAGAAGCCACGGAAACCCCCGCTCGCAGCCTGGGCTCTTCCAGCTGACTGCCGTGCGCGCGGGAGCAGGAGGTCCCCAGACAGAGCGCGGAGGCCTGTGGATTCCCACAGCAGGTGTCCCTCCCCTTCTAACCCTCACGCAGACTGAGGTTCAGTGAAGCTCCGCGTAGCGTCACTTCAGGGGGTTTAGGAGTATCCAGGACCCCTGCAGGTCAACCTCGTCCCGGCTGCCACAACACACGGCCCGTCCTGGTCGCCCGTCGCCCTCACGGCCCTCCCTCTCTCGCCCACCCATCCACTCCCTCCCTCCATTCACACCTCCACTCTCGGCTCTCCTCTGTCCAGAGCATTTCCCCGCTGTTCCCCTCTCTGAACTCAGTCTCTGACCCCAAGGCCTGGCTCGAGCCCTCGTCCTGCCCGGACTCCCTGACTGTGACGACTGACAAGGCAGTGTTCCATGGACAAGAAAAGCCCGGCTTGAACTGCACGGTCCTGCAGTTTGTCTTCCTGATGCCCAGGGGCAGCACAGGCTCCCCTCCTGTCCCTCTGCTGATATGGTGGCTGCTGCCTTTTTTCCTTCAAGGTTCATAAACTTGCAGTCAGATTTCCTTTCTAAATGGCTCAGTGCATTAACCAGCTATTTCATATGCATTTTGCCATTTCCAAGATGTCCGTGGTAGACGCCACCCAGCAGCTGATCAACATCCCAGTTCAGCCCCAGAGGAGTATGGCTGCCGCCTGTTCTCTGGCCAGTTCCCTAACCCTCCTCCACGGTCACCCCAGCGGCCCAGCCTCTCACAGCTCGAAGCGGAGTGTGCAGCCCTCCCGCTGAACTCGTCAATAAATGGCTCCATGGATCTGCTTTTTAATATTCCAAGCTCTTCCCAGGGCAGGAAATCGCAATCCATAAATGAACGGACCACTTAGGAACACAGCTTTACCTCAAAACCTCTTTGCTGAAAGTCTTTGATACTTGGCTTTAAATTTTCTTTAAAGCATAAATTTACGGACACTGTCTGAAGGCTTCCAATGAAATTCACATCTTCAACTTGACGGCGACGTGGCCCTGAGGTACAACCACTCAGCAAGCCCACTCTTCGTCTGCACCCATCCCCACCCCTTCCCACCCCGTTCAATCTTCTATCATTAGTAACAGCAGCCACCGCTGCTTGTGAACCAACCAGTGCAGATACTAATCAAAGAACTTCATCATCATTTAATCTTCTCAACAAACGCAGGAGAAACCGGAGGCGTGGAGGTGACCAGCGTGTCTCGGGCCACCCAGCAAGCGTGGCAGCCGGGATTCAAACCCGAGTCTGACCCGCATTCCCTCATCCTGACGCTAGACGCTTCAGTCACAAACAGTTTCTTCCCTCCCGGAAGAAGCAGATTCCTGCAGGTCATTCCTCCAGCAGAACCCGGAGGCCCCTCTGCTGGGTCAACGTGTTTTCACCACAAAACGGATGGGAAACAGAAAAGGTGAGAAAACCAGGGGGCCCTGAAGAAAGCTGTCACCTCTGACCTCCTTCCCCAGTTAGAGGTCAGATGAGCAGCCCTGGGATGGACGGCAGGAAGCTGTGGTCACCTGGTTACACCCTGACTGGGAGCAAAGAGCCGACGTGACAAGTCCCAACCAGGACGTGAAGGTGACCAGGCCCTGGGTATGAATTCACCTCTGCCTCCTGCAGCATTTCTCTCCTGGCCCCTCACTCCGGTCAGCGAGTCATGAAGTGAGGACACGGCTCCAGAGAGGAGCCGACAGCGGCACAGCCATGAACCATAAGTGAGAGGATGCGGGGACCCCTCTCCACGCACCACCAAGTGGGGCACACAGGCTGTCCCGTATTAGCGTCCAGAACGTCCATCTGAGCACAACCAGCCACTTGACTAAAGCCTCCAACCCTGCATCACTGCAGCTGTGTGGAGCCTCCAAGGGCTGTGCCTGCTGGACCCTCCAGCTGAGACACTTCATCACACTCCAGAGCACAGCTGGCGCGAGCAGCCCAGATCCCCACTCGCTTCATAAGGCCCATTTTAAAAAAACATTACTAATGGTCAAGAGATTCCAAACAGAATTTGCCTGCCAAGATTTATTTGGCAAAGAAAAGATACTCTATCTCCTGAAACATGGGCTTACAAGTCAGCTCCAGCCTTCCTTCTGCTCAGCTTTTCACTTACTCACTTGAGAACAACATCCTGACCCTGCAAAACCAGCCTTTTTAAGAGGAAATCTCAGCCCCCCGTCTTCTAACCCACTTACCCTCAGTGTTGGAAGTGATGTCGTCTTCCACCCTCACCACTTGCCTCCCGAGACCCAGTGCTGGAGGGTGATCCGGGGCGGGGTAATGTGGGGGCACGTCCCTTTCTGACAGCGGGGCACCTCCAGCTAGGTAGGGCCGGCTGCTTCTGGTTTCAGGGTAGGGAGAGGGGGCTTCCCGGGAAGGCTCCAGTGGGTCTCCTCCTGTCTCTGACGGGGCCGGGCCTCCGGTCTCTAGCTGCTCAGAAGAGTCAACCGGGCCTCTTACATCCGAGGCATCCGTCTTCCCCAGAGGTCTCCCCTCTCTGGTCCGGGGGTCTAGGGGGGCAGATTCTGCTTCAGGGTAGAATGGCCAGTCGCTAGGTGTGGGATGTGGCAAAGTGGAGGCCAGATCAGAGTCTGGGGGAGAGACCCCACCTCCTGAAGGCCGTGACTCAGAGTTGGCCCGGAAGGGAACGTCGACACGGCTGTGGCCTTTCAACGCCTCATCTGGTTCGCTGGGCGGGTATTCGACTTCCTCCTCATTCTCCTCATAATAATCCACGTTGTCCTCCGTGTAGTCGCCTTCCGGGGCTGCAGCTTGGCTGAAGGGGCGTCCTGGGGGAGCTGGAGACTGGGCTCTGGAAAGGTCCCGTCCAGCTGTCGCTGGCCTGACGTTGTCCATCGGGGAGGAGCTGCCGATGTGGAAAGCCCACACGCCAGGGACCCCCAGGTTGCTGTGTCTGAACAGAAAGAAACAGAGCCTGTAACGACTGTCCATTACCCACCGTCCTGCAGAGGCGAGTGACTCATGTTACAATGGAAAGACTGTTGGGACCAGACTCAGGGTTCTCACTGGAGCAGAAAACCAAATTCCATGGGACTTACCCAGTGCCTGAATTTTGATGTAAACAACCTCTTACTCAACATTCAGTGTCAGAGGCCAGACCGTCGAGTTAGAAATCTGCTCTACGAGCCACGTCTTATCCAAAATCTGGCTGTTTGAAAACAAATAAGGAATGTGGGAATATCTTATCCTTCCAATCCAATATCAATCCTATTGTTTGAGCACAATCAAGAAAACGTATGCCTGAAAGCTTCTGCCAAACCCTTAAACAAAAAACGATGGCTACGAGATTCTGAGGGTTCATCATGTGCCGAAGGCAGGCCTTCGTCAGGACGATCACGCCCAATTTCACAGCGGAGAAAACAGGTTCAGAGGGGTGACTAATCCTCTCAAAGCCACACAACCCTCAGCGGGCAGAGCTTGTCCCTGAATTCAGCCCGTGCTGCACACGTCCATGTTACATTATGTCGGAAAACAAGCACCCTCCAGAGAGTCCTCACCTGAATTATCGTTTCTCATCGAATGTTAGCGACATTTCACGGTCGATTAACTAATTCACAGAGAATGGTGAGTCAATGTAAAAAAAAAAATAAAAGAACTATCAATGCCCAAGTCTGAAAAAGTGTTGAGCAAGTGCCGAACAAAGTTAAGAGGAAAATAAGAAAGTGGTTTAATCAAAATTCTGCAGGTCATAGGTGAGAGGTGTTCAGAAACATCTGGAAACCGAGAGCTCATTTTCTCCACCAGAAAAGAGCAGGGACTCCGTTCAGTCCTCAGACAGCCCAGGGACCCATCATTTTAGAGTCAGTGACACATTCTGAAGAGATCACTACATGTAGGATTTCTAAAAATAAGGAAGAACGTGAACAAGCAGGGGTCTGGCCTGAATACACCAGTGTGTGTCCCTCTGCTGTGTGTGCAAAATCCCGGCTCACAGTCTCCCAGGCTGTGGGATCTCCACAAAGTCAGTCAGCGAGGAATAAGAGTTAACCACTAACAAGATAGTAAGAACTCACCGAATCCTACAAAGACAGACCTTTGCTCACGTGGTGGAGGTACTCGTCACAGTCACGTGGATTTCTACAGCAGTAACTTCTTCAATGCATGTCCGAGAATGTTCCTCCCTCCCTCCCTCCCTCTCCTTCCCGCTCTGTGTGTTCTTGCTGCTACTGCTGCTGTAATTAACTGAGGGAAACAGGAACAGAGACAACTCGGTGCAACAAGCTGTGTATACTGGCAAGTTCTGAGCATCACTGTTGGCATTTCCTGGCAAGCGAATCAGGAACGCCGAGGAGATGAGAAAGAAGACCCAAGGACCCTGAGTTTATCATCACACCACAGGTGGTGCAGCTGCGAAGTTTATTCTTGATGTTAGAAACTGTACCAGCTTCAAAGAGTAGGAAAATACAAATTATGGCAGATAAAAGCTAAAGAAAATAACCTCTAATTAAATATAAATCACTATCCTGGCTTTTGTCATTGTGTCTGATGTGGAAGTAACCAATTTGAGTTTATCCTAAAATCCAAGGTCATTTGGAAAGCCCAGTGATAGAAAGAACTTAACTCGTTTCCTAGAAAGGAAACAAGGCTTCAAGGTGGGGGACAGGGCCCCCTCCCTGGGCTGTCAGGAGGAGTAAGTCAGAACACCATACTGAAGGCCTCGCATGGGGCCGCCCGTCGTAAGCGCTTGGTAACTGCTGTCCTCCAGGAGACACGGAAGCACAGTCTCAGACAATGCAAACGCGCGCATTTGTATGTAAATCTGCAGAAGAAGAGTTACGACAAACGCACTATGAATTATATAATTTATGACCTTCGAGCTTACAATCATGAGACAAGTTTGAGGAAGACAGAGGTTCCACTGACTAGGAAAGTAACTGTTCTTCAGAGATGCACACGGAAGGGTTTGGGAGTGACTGGCATGATGTGACTTTAAAATACTCAAGCAGAAGAGAAAGAAAATGATGAATATGGCAAAATCCAGATTACGAGCATCTGGGGGTTGCTTTAGTTATTCCCTCCACTTGCCTGTATATTTTTGAAAATTTAAATAATGAGAAGTAAAGCAGAAGATTAAATTGAGGAACATTTCTATAATTCCGAGGTAGAGAAGGCCTAAGAATAACAGCAAGACCTGAAATGATAAAGGAAATGACCAATAACTTCAACAACCCTAGACTTACACCTTCTAGATCATAAGTAACTTTAAAGAGGAAAAACTGGATAAAAATATTCACAGCGTATGAGAGAATTAATATCTTTACTATATTTTTTTCTTATTTATGAGTTCTTTGTAAACACCCAATAGAAAACAGCAAAGAATATGGACAGACAAGTCACAAAGAGACAGGTAAATGGCTGTTAAACATACGAAAAGGTGATTAGTTTTACTGGTAATCAGAGAAATTAGAGTGAAAATATGAAGATTTTATATCTATCAGATTTGCAAATATTAAAAAGATAGAAGCTTGTAGGGAACAGACTGTCCATCCCAGCTCTACAATGCTGGTGAGGATGCTTGTTAACACACATCAGAAGGTGCAAGCTCGCAGATCCTTTCTCAGTAATGCTACTTTTTTTTTTTTTTTGCTGAGGAAGATTGTCCCTGGGCTAACACCCTTGCCTGTCTTCCCCTACTTTATATGTGGAACACCTGCCACAGCATGGCTTGATGAGTGGTGTGTAGGTCCATACCCGGGATCCAAACCTGCAAACCCCAGGCCACCGAAGCGGAGTGTACGAACTTAACCACTAAACCACTGGGCAGGCAGGCCCCTCAATAATTCTACTTTTAAGAAATTATTTTTGAGAGAAATGAGAATCTGAGCAAAGTATATTATGCTGTTTACTGCAACGATTTTATAAAAGGAAAACCAGAAACAAGTTAAACATTCATCAATAAACTGCTGTCTTAACAACACAGGACATATACGATGCCTTAAAATGATCATATAAACAACATCTTACGGATGATGCCCACGAGACAGTGACGAACGGGAAAATGCCACACGTGCAGCAAAAGAACCATCTTGGTTTTAAAAGTCGCTCACATACAGTTGAGATTCTGGAGGGCGGTTAACACTGGCTGTCATTGGAAGGAGTGACACCAGGTAATTTTTACTTTTATTTCACATTATTCTGTATTGTTTGTACTTTATTTTTTATGTTAGGCATGGATGATGCTAAAGAAAAATCCCGTTAGTCATTTGGCTGCATAACTCAGTCTGCTCTCATCAAGCAACTCGGGTTTCTAGAGGCATCAAAGATGGAAATGAGGGGCCGGCCCCCGTGGCTTAGCGGTTAAGTGTGCGTGCTCCGCTACTGGCGGCCCAGGTTCGGATCCAGGGCACACACTGATGCACTGCTTCTCCGGCCATGCTGAGACCGCGCGTCCCACATACAGCAACTAGAAGGATGTGCAGCTATGACATACAACTATCTACTGGGGCCTTGGGGAAAAAAAAAGGAGGAGGATTGGCAATAGATGTCAGCTAAAGAGCCGGTCTTCCTCAGCAGAAAGAGGAAGATTAGCATGGATGTTAGCTCAGGGCTGATCTTCCTCACAAAAATAAAATAAAATAAAATCTTAAAAAAAAAAAGATGGAAATGAGGAAACACACAGAGAGGGGTGAATGGAAGTGCACGGGTGTGCGTGTGTGAGCATGTGTGCGCGTGTGTGTTAGTTCTTAGGGGTCTTTGTGGCTGTGGGGGAGCACAGCTGCCTTTTCCGCAGGTGTTTGGCCCCCACGGCCTCCTGCCCCATGAGGACATCGGCACTTACTCTAACGCTCTGGCACGGTCTTCTGTCTGTCTGTCCATCCCACTGGAGTACAAGTTGCCAGTGTGCAGGCCTGTGCCTTAGACATCTTTGTATTTCAAGTGCTCGGCCCACTGTGAGCTCTCAACAATGTCCGAGGAGCAGAGACTGTGGGCTCCGGAGCAGAAGAGGACGGTGGAAGCAGGGAGAGAGAGCAAGGAGCTAAGTCTTCTCCAGAGACAGACGGACGAGCAGCCCGGATGGAGACAGAAGGACGCCCCGCGTGGGCCACAAGAATGGGGGAGGCCGACTCAGCAGAGAACCAGTAGTCCGGAGATCCAGACCTGTGCTCGAATGTCTGCTTTGCCGATTCATAACTCTGAGACCACAGACAACCTGAGTTCCCTGAGCTCATTTGTCAAATCGAGAAAAGACCAGAACTCACCTCCTAGGATTCTTGGAGGTTGTAATTAAGACAACTTCTGGAAAGCGTTTAGCACAGTGTTTGGCAAGTAGTAAGCTCTCAGCAAACGTCGGCTCTGAGCAACCGTATTTGGTTGTAGGGCCTGCTCTGGGGGCTGAGCAGAGCAGATGGCATGCGAAAGCGTGCCCTGTTCCAACACCCAGAATAACCCGACGAACTGGGGGCAGTTAGGGAGGCTAAGAACCCGTGCGTTCGCTCTGGCTTCTGGACTAGTATTCAGGAAAGGAATAAAAGCAAAGATATTTTTTAAAAGCCCTGAAATTAATAAATACCAAAGGTGCTGACCAAGTGCTGGTGTGGTGTGGACTGACAAAATGTATCAAGGGTGTCTTCTTGCCCCGAAGAGCAGCCTCTGGTGGGACTCGGGGCGCAGCCCCAGTGCCTCATTGGAAACCACTCCATGCACCTCAGATAACAGAGCCACAGGGCATCCTGAGACTTCTAAAACCTACCAATCTGCTTGTTTCCCAAATTACATTACTCTTTTTTTTTTTTTTAAAGATTTTATTTATTCATTTTTTTTCCCCCAAAGCCCCAGTAGACAGTTGTATGTCGTAGGTTCACATCCTTCTAGTTGCTGTACGTGGGACTCGGCCTCGCGTTGGACGGAGAAGTGGTGCCTTGGGGCGCGCCCGGGATCCGAACCCGGGCCGCCAGCATCAGAGCGCACGCCCTTAACCACTAAGCCACGGAGCCGGCCCTCAAATTACATTACTCTTAATTTAACTTTTAACTGTGTCTGTCTAAAGGACTAAATCACAACATCTCCTCCTCTGAAATGATTCACCTGGAAAAACCTCAATATGGGCAGTTACATTACTGGATATTTTTAAGTGGTTCCAAGAGCAATGTTTTCCATAGTGAGCCCCAGTGGCTCTGCACACACACACACACACTGTTTCTGGTATCTACAGCCAACAGGGTGGGAAAAATAAAGGACCTTTTCTATTTTGGTGAACTTGCTCCACCAAGGTCTAGTGCCCAGCCCTGACCTGATGCCTGGCTCAGACCCACCACGGTGTCAGTTAATGGTCTCACGGCCACTCAAGTTCAGGCACCTCCTGAGGGTCCCAGGGGCTCTGCCCTGTGTCACTTACTGGTAGAGATTTTTCACAGACTGCTCGGTGCTCGTCAGGCTGAAATACGGCGCCTCTCCCTTCAGGCCATCCGCCTCCCCTCGGCAGAAGCCCACCCGGGCGGGCAGCTCGAGCTGGACGTTGTAAGACTCTTTGGGGCGCGTTCCAAAGAACTGAAGGCCATTGGCAGGATAAAGAAAGAGGGCGTAGGTGTCGGACTCATCAGAGGCCAGAACTGCCTGGAAAGTGTTCAGCTGTGAAAAAAGGAAATATTCTTAATAAAACAAATAAAAAAGCAGAATTCAAGCAAAGCACTGTGAAGTGTAAATGCTGTCCCTTCTCAGGATTTCTGTAGGTAGTTTTTATATGTGGTGTTCTTTACACATCCTCTTCGAGTTAGATATAATTTTATAAGCTATATTATTATCACAATCATCTCTTATCCATTCAGATTAATAGGTGAAATATATATAGGTCAAAAACAGGTTAAAAAAATATTTTTTAAGGTTTCGAACTTCTCTCATCAAACCTCTTTCAGAGCTAAGAGCAAGCAGCAAATTAACTTCCCACAGCCCCGGCCCGTGTCTGCCCTGGCGCTGGCTGGGTCCCTCATTCACCCACATATTTACTGAACGCCCCCGTGGGCAGGCCTGGGGTTGGGCTTGGCTGATCACAAGGCCTCCTTACTGCTCTCACAGCCTCACTCGCTTGTCTCTTCTGTCGTCTTTTCAGGCCAGCAACCCCATTTCAGAGATGGGGAAACAGACACAGGGGCTAACAGGCTGCCTGAGGTCAGGGAGCTGGGACACAGTGGCCCCAAGTCCACGCCCTGCACCCCAGGCCATCCCAGCTCCTCCCGAGCATCCGCCCCAGGCTCTCCCAGTTCAGACGTGCATCCTCATCACTAATGTTCCCAGATTGTCCCTTGTACTTCGAGGTTTCTGTACTTTTGCTCACGTCTCCTGGTGCCCGGAAACCCGCTCACCTTCTAATGCTGCCCTCTGGGGTGCTGTGGTTCCCTGTAGATTTGTTTCTGTTCTCTGACCCTCCATAACACCTTTGTGGGGTTTCTAGGTAGCATTCCCCTCATTTTCCTGGTTAGCTGTCCGTGTGTTTGCAAGCTCCGTTCATTAAGTCACGTGTACGTTAATTCAAACGACTAGGTGCCTTCTGCACACCAGACATGACGCTTGGTGCCGACGAAGTAAAGGAGCCAAGGACGGGGACTCCGCCAGGCCAGTCTCAGCTGAGGAGCGGGGATGCCAGGGCTGGAGCTGCAGGACAGCTACTGAAGGGGGGAGCAGAGGCCACGAGCGGGGCGTGTGCCCAAGGCCTCGGGTGGGGGTGGGGGTCGCAGAGGCGCCTGGGAACCTTCACAGACAGACGGAGCCACAGCAGCCCAGAGACACCGGGGCTGAACCAGCCACAGACTCAGCACCCAGTCCTACAGAACCGCCCTCAAAGTCCAATCTACTCTCATATTTTCAACAAGACACCTTTTTGGCTTTACTCCCACCCCCCAAGATCTGTGGAAACGGTGCTCGATTATCTTAAAGAGACGTTACATTAGGACCTGAGAACACCACTCACTAAATCCTTCTATAGTTTAGTGGGGAACTGGGGAGGTATTTAAAAACTACTTCTACTTCCTAAATAATACGACTCTTAGAAACGTTATACTGGTAAGTAGTATTATTTCCCCATTTTGCCAAACAGAATTAATCACATTTTACTCAGTAAAGCAGCAAACAAGAGGGATGTGCCCCATTTTATTCATTCTAGGTCCTTCTCCATATGGTGCTCAAACTCTCTCCTAACCTTAATTCTTCCTTTCAGCATTTAGTCTGAAGTACAGTTTTGAGGTTTTGCTTTTAGGACAGAGAAATTCAGGTGTTAAAATGCTTTTCAAGAAAAAAACAATAATACACAACCTTTCTTTTCATCTCTAACATAGAAAGTCACCTTGTTTGCTTTCTTCCAGCTCACAATCCTAAAGATGGGAGGGGGGGGTCTAGTATATTTGTTTTGTTGTAGTTCTTGATTGTTTCATCAGCAAAGCTGGACTTTTCCAAAAACAAAAGGCGAGGGATGTTTTCCAGAATTTCTCAAAGCTGGGAAGCCATAACTTCGGTCACAGGTTAACAAAGGCTGTTTTGCGCCCTGTCTGTACCTAACACACCACAGCATCCATTAACAGCAACACAATAACTTCAAGTTCCACGTTAGTCGGAATAAACAACGTGCAACCAGAGAAAGAAAAGAGCTCGAGGAAGAAGAACCTGCTGTACAAAGCTGAGCTCTCAGAGCTCCCAGCACTGATGGCCCACGATAAAAGTGAGACAGGAGGAAACCCTGGTTGGAAGTTCAGAGAAAGTCTGTCCGAGAAGGAGATCCTGGAAACGGAAGGGCTCGGAGGGGATGCATGGGGAGGCGGCAGGTCAACAGCTGTTGGGAGGGTCTGGCTTTCACTGTGGGGTCTGGATATTCAGCTCTTCATTTTAGTCACTCAGCCAACACATTTCGGTGAAAATTCGCTCAGTGTCCTTCACGTGCCACCCCTGGACAGCACGCACTACAGACGGGATTCACTTACCATACTGTCTCCACTGAAATAGGAAAATAGAAGGAGAATTTGAAATAGATTCTATGATCCCAAAGTACAGGCCAAAAGAGTCTGGCTGTTTAAAAAGCGCCCACACAGCAAATAATCACTGTTAAAGTTCTCTCTCGGTTCCATGAAATTCTACGCGTGATTGCTAAAGAGCCCTCTTGGTGAAGTCCAGCAGGCTCCTCCCCAGCGCTCCTCCACTGGCTTCCAGACCGGAAAGGTCTTCACATTCCTGGAGACGAGCCTTTGCAAGAACCCCCCACACTCTGTCTCTGAAGGGAAACCCTCAGATGGGCTGCCAAACCCCACAAAAGGGTCACCAGTTCCCAGGCCCACAGGATCCCGGAGGAGAGCGGGGCCCCCGAGGGATGAGCAGTGGCAGAGGATCAGGCCAGGGGCTTCAAGGTTTCCACTGTCCCACTGTCAGAAAGAGAAGCAGAGCCCTCAGCAGAAACCAGGCAGGTTCTGAGCCCCCTCAGGTCGAGGAGTCACCATCGATGCTGACTTGACACCAGGCTCAGCCAGGCAGATGGATGCGAAACGCACCTGTCTGAGTTTCTGATTTTTGCAATCCATTTAATTTCAGTCATCTGGCAAAAAATCAGAACAGTGCCATCCCCATCCCAGAGGGGTTTGCGTACAGTGGCTGACAAAAATTACATGAGAATTAAGAAGTAGGCCAACTCCCACAGGGTCACGAGTCCCTCTCCTGTCTCCTTGTGGCCCCATGCTCGCTACGTCATAGCATCACTGACTCTGGCCTCCAGAGATGGGTGTGGACAGTAACCTCCGTGCCTTAGTGTATTTCTCCATCCCATCACCTCCACATTGCTGTCACAGGCAGGATTTTCTCTCAGTTTTCTGTCCTCAATCCTACAGATCCTGCCAAAAATTCAAATTCAAATAAATGCCCAGTGCTGTCACATCCCTAACGTTCCACCCTTCCTGACACTTAGTCTTCAGCAAAACTTCAGCATTTCTTTAACCAATCTCCACACGTCTCCATTCTCAACACCTCAGCCTCAGGTAAACACTCTCAGATGGACGCAGACCCCCCTCTTCTGGACGTCAGCTCCAGAAGTCAAAAAGCTACCTCAAGGTCCTGCTGTTACTACTTGTTTTCTCTGTGGATCCACCCCCACCCCCTGGCATGACGACCGTCCCTTGAAACAAGTCGACAAGCCGGTCCCGACTGAGGCCTCCAGTGGGACTCCTACATTACTGCCTCCAACCCCTTCATCCGCTTCCCCAGCCTCAGCTCTCAGCCTTCAGCAGGACAAGCCCTGGCTCAGAACAACTGCTCCTGCTGCCTCCTTCTCAAGAGCCATCCTTTCAGCCCAACTTAAATTTCAGGTTGGGAAAACGTTCCCCACACCACACAGACCTGTGTTCCCCATCACCCCAGTCCCTCAAAACACAACAACAAAACAACACTCCCCCCGCCAAAAAAACACACCACAGCTTAGGTAAGCACTAGTGCTCTCTAGGTGTCCTGTCAACAGGTCTCTGAAGGTCACCACCACGACTCTGCTCTGTGAAGGACCCGGGACAGTTTAGGAGCCTCACGTCCACTGAATGATGAATATTGTTTTTGTTCCTACTTCTTTAGACAGTTATACCTTGATACTCCTGCTGGATCAGGGCCAACACCCCGTCACACCACCGAGAACATCCACGGAGGGAAAGGGCAGCACTGAAATCCTTCCAGGCGGAAAGACGCCACTCCTCTGCTACCTCTGAGTTTCCAGTAACTGTGACACGAAGTTAGTAGGCCAAGACTTCAGAAAGCCATGTAGAACCCCACACAGTCCTTCAAGCAAAGTAGTTCACTGTTTGCCAAAATCTGCCTCCAAAGAACGATTAAAACAAGAAATCAAGTCACAGGGCTCTCTAAAGTATTCAGAAGAACCTTCGACATGGGTAGTTGAAAAAACATCCTCTCTCCAAACAGAACCCTCATCTCCTTTCTAAATAAACAAATTCTGAAGCCAACTCAGCATATGGCAGTGTCTGAAGAATGATTTTAATTAGAAGGTAAAAGAGAGATGGAATCTACAAATCTTCCATAGTCTCCCCCAAAAAGAGACCAGGTGGAAGCTGCAACTCAAAAAACTTTGTATTTAAAGAGTCCTCATGTAAAGGACTTACATCACAGCATCCGTACAAGAGAGAAACAGAAGAACCAGGATCTAGTCTTATGAGCCCAACGTAGGGGAACACAGACGGGCTGAGCATCTGCACCCACTGGGTCTCAAGGACACGAGGCTACTTAGAAATGTCATCACCTTAGCTAATTCTACAACAGTCCTGTAAGGTAGGCATTGCTGCCTCACCTCACACAGGATGGGAAACAAAGACTGAGGCTGTGTCACTGCTTCCAAAGTCACCAGATAACTTTTCATAAACCTCTTCTTTCAAACGCTTTTCTCTTTACTGTCACTGTCTTCACAACCACCCTGACAGTTGAGTAAGAGAAGCATTATGCCCACATGACAGATGAAACTGAACAAAGTCATCTTGTCTGTACTGTAATTTTTGCTTTCAAATACGCCCTGGAATCTGAAGGCTCAAGTGTGACGGCATCACCCCAGAGCCTCTGTGAACCGCTCGTCTCCGGCTCATCTCTCTCAACTTTGTCTTTCTTTCTTCTGTTGAAAAGGTAAGACAGAAGCAGCTGAGTTCTCTGCAGAGCCCTGGAACACTCATCTGAGTGTCGCCAGGCATCAGTAGCCTCCTCGGCAGCATTTCACTCCAAGGTCGTTCTGCCTCTGAAGGAAACGTGGTCCCAAAGACTCTTCTGCCACTCGATCACCTCAAGACAAACTCAGGCCTCATGTGTCGGAAGACTTTGGGAAAGACACAACAGTAGTCATGCCTACCGACATCACTTGAGCCAAGGAAATGGGTCTTGCATGAAAAGTCTGGGTAAAAGCAACAAAAATACTAAGAATCAAAAAATCTGTCTTCTAAACCTCCTTTGCCTCACTAAGAGCAGAATTCTGGACAATCGCTTTATCTTGTATTTGTCATTATCTGTGAAATGCAAACAAGAATTCTTGTACTTATCTTGTAGGATTGTTGTAGGAATACAGTACAATAAAGCAGTTACAGAATCGACAAGACAGCTCGAATAAACGACACATGTAATAATTGTCTAAGTCAGTCTTTCCTTTGAGTCCTTCTCAATTCAGACAAAATGAACTCTCTGGAGAAAAATATCAATCCCCTGCTTAAAATCCTTCAAAGGCTGCCCACGGCCAAGAACCAAGTCCAGACTCCTAGCAGAGCATGATGGGCCCCTCCCCACGGCCTTCCAGCTTCATGTCACACACCCTTCCTCTTCAGTGATAACGTACCACACGTAACGCCCCAAAACTACACTTCGCAGCTCATGGGCGATGCGTCAGACGCTCTCCCTTCACTGAGAACATTCTGCTCAGCTCAGCTCCGATTCAAAGCTACCGCCCATGTGGAGGGCCCTAACCCGTGAGGGGTGGACTGAGTCTCCTGAGGCCAGAGGCTGCTACATTCATCATATTGCACATAACCATGTCCCCACTAAGCTGTGGGATCCTTTAGAGTCAAGAGTATGTCCCTTCCCAGAGTCTCTCCCAGTCCGGATGTACAGTAGGTGTGCCAAAATGTTCGTTGGGTGAGTAAACTCCAACCACATTTAAATATAAATTACCTATACACACACACAAATCAATGTGCCACACATAAGATACGTGTTTAGAAAAATAGACTGGAAAAAACACAATAAAGTATTAGCAGTGAGCTCTGGTTAGTGGAATTATAAATAACTATTTTCTTATTTTCTAAATGTTTTATTGTAGTTATGTTATACTTATTTTAAATAAGTTTTTAAAATTTATGAACAAAAACGAATGAATGAACAGATGCAACATAATGGTGGGCCCTACCTCATTCATCTCCCCCGCCACCCCCAGCCCAACGCCTGCACAAAGGCACACGACCTGCATGTTTGAACTTAATGTGTTCTGTTGAATAACTGAAATGTCAAACCCATGTATTTAAAAACATTATTCAGTAAACAAAACTAGATGTTGCCTGACCAAAAAAAGAATGGCAAAAATATCAGAAAGTCAAACAATTTTTATTTCTAGATCTTCTGTGCTTAGAGCAGCCTTTAGGAAACATTTCTCTCCCAGAATGGCCACCATCCCGACCACTCAGTGGAGTGGGCGAGCTACCTCACCTCTCAGGGAGGTCGGTGCCATCTCTCTATCCCGAAGAAACACCTCGACGAGTTAAAGCAGAGAGAAACGCAGAGAGAAACTCTAAGAGTGTCAGACCCTGGAGTCTGACAGTTTAGACTCAGCTGTGAGTCACAGGAGGAAGCCCCACCCACTCCAGGAGGGAGGCAGTTCAGCAGGCGCCAGGCCACCTGGAGTACTCTACATGGACTAGGAGAGGGCTGGCTTTACTGTCTCAGCTACAGACTCTAAAATGAATCAGGTTCACTCTCCTGTAAACAAGGGAGCATGTACACCGGTTCCTGGACGACAGTTTGGCAAAAGCCATCAAGAACCTTATAAAGAGTGCATCCTTTCTGGCCTACCAATTCTACTTCCTGGAAAGTCAACCAAGGACAAAGATTTAGCTTAAAAAAATGCTTCACAAAATTACTTATGATGACGAAAAATTGGAAAGAATCTTAATGCCCACTGGGCACAGTGATAAGCCCAGTGGATGGAATACTATGCAGACGTTAAAAATGAAGTTGTAGAAATATATTTATTGACATTGAAACACATTCACAACATACTATTTAGTGAGGGCAAAAGGTAGGTTACAAAACAGTACATGCAGGGTGAGCCCATCATTGTTAATAGACAGCGACAGATTCAGACAGGGACAGAAAAAACTCTGGAAGAGACACAGGAAAATGTTTAATAGCAGTTATCTGAGTGGTAGGAAAATGAGTGCTTGTTCTTTTTTAAATTACCTGTATTTGCTGATGTTTTTCCTTCAATGAACATACAATCAGAAATAATTCTTGTATACTTAGAAATGATTCTAAAAAGAAACAACCAAACAGAAACCGCCGTGTGTTCCAAGGGTCCCTGCATCTCACCAGACCCTCACACCCCGAAGCAGTTTCCTCGCTGGAAGCAACCACCTGAGATCCTCAGCGGAAGCCAGGACAACAGCTCCTTCACTCACAGGCCACCGCAGCCACCGCACGACACGCGAGATTCGGCGCGGGACGGACTCGAAGGAACTCCAGCCCAGAGCTCAGCCCGCCCTCAGCCGGCCACACGGGCCACTCACCTCTCCGGAGGGCGGCGCCCCGCGCGCGGCCTTCTGGTAGGCGCCCACCTGCGCCCACGTAGCCAGGAAGGCGTGGGTGGGCGAGAAGTGTGCGGCGCGCGGGAAGCCTGTGCGCACAAAGCGCGCGGCCCGGCCCAGCACCTCCGGGGACGTGTCCTCGCGGAACAGCACGCGGCCCCGGCCCCGGCTCGTGTCCACGTCGGCCAGGAAGGGGGCGATGGCCGGGAAGTCCGTGGGGAAACCGTCGTCCACGTACTGGGTCTCCCTGGGGAAGTCCTGGGTGGAGATGATGCCGTTGGTGCCCACCTGGGGGACGAGGGTAACAGAGGGGACGGTCCGGATGTGCGCGCCACCGCGCTCCGCCAGGACGGAAGGGAACCGCGGGCCCGGGACTGCTCCCGCCTCGGCCGGTCCCTCCCGCGGTCCTGAGCCTTGCAGCTCGCTTGCCCGTCCTCTCCTTCCCGCGCAACCCGGGGACCCCAGTGTCCCCGGGGGAACCCCCGTGTGGCTACGGGACCCCCCTGTGGCTGGGGGAGCCCCGCGCCCCTGGGGGACCCCCGTGTGCCTAGGGCACCCCCCTGTGGCTGGGGGACCCCCGTGTCCCTGAGCCGCGAGTCCGGACGCGCAGATTTCCCGCTCCCTCCCAGAGCCCCGCCGCCCCCGCCCCCGCCCCCGCTCCG